GTGCTACCCACTCAGCCACCAGGACACCCTGCCATTGTCACACCTGCCTCATTTAAGACTCTACACATCAAAATGTCAAAAGTGAGGCTTACTTGAACAGAAACAGTTCAATTCAAAGAAAACCCTGAGTGATATAGGCAAGCTTTAAATAAACTAACAATAAATGAGTAATATCAACTTACTGGGAAAAATCTATCTAAAATAACTTTGATATCTGAAGTACGATTGAAGTTAGGGTTTACAGTGACAGTCTCTCTCCCTAAAACCTTCAAACAAGGTCAGAAATCTAGGGGTAATACTGGACTCAGACTTAAATTTTAATAGCCACATCAAATCAGTAACATCAGCAGCTTTTTACCATCTAAAAAACATTGCCAGGATCAAAAACATAGTGTCTAAAGCAGACCTGGAGATTCTTATCCATGCATTTGTCTCCAGTAGGTTAGACTACTGCAATGGCCTGCTCACAGGTCTGTCCAAACAGGCTGTAAAACAGCTGCAGTACATTCAAAATGCAGCAGCTCGAGTCCTGACTAGAACCAGGAAGTACGACCACATTAGTCCAGTCCTCAGGTCTCTGCACTGGCTTCCTGTGGCTCAGAGAATAGACTTTAAAACGAAAGTTACGACTGTAACTACGGTTCTATGAATCCTGGATGACCGCCAGAGGCGGTGCTTTAAGCACTGAATGATCATCTTTGAGCATGCGCAGTTCGAGAATTAAATGACAACAAAGTCACTTGTGACCTCCTCGTGACCCCCGTGAGTCTATATAGGTCACGTGACACGAGAGCCCAGCCCCTTTTCACCTCGCAAGCAGACCGTGGCCCTGAGGGACTGGACGCTCTGGCGGTCATCCAGGATTCATAGAACCGTAGTTACAGTCGTAACTTTCGTTCTATTTCATCCTTCCTGACCGCCAGAGGCGGTGCTTTAAGCACTGGATGACAAATACCAACAAGGTCCCGAGGGGTCAACGAGAGGTACACACCCACCTCATAACGTCGAATGGTGCCGCAGCACCCCCTCCAGCGGACCAGGGACCGCCACATTGACCCTGTAGTACGTCGCGAAGGTAGACTGCGACGTCCAGGAGGCGGCCGCACAGACTGCGTCCAGAGGCACACCGCTCATAGCAGCCCAGGAGGCAGAGACGCCCCTGGTCGAATGACCCCTCACCCCAGCAGGCAGCTGGCGCCCATGGGAGAGGTAGCACTGTCTGATCACCTCGACAACCCACTTGGAGAGGCGCTGAGACGACAGAGCCTGGCCCTTCCTGGGGCCGGCATAGCACACGAAGAGGCGATCCGACCCCCGCACACTGGCTGTGGCAGTTCGGTAAACCTCCAATGCCCTGACAGGACAAAGCGGTTCTACAGAGGCCCCAGTACCAAACCGGGCCAAACTAAGTGGAAGGACCGCACCAGCGAACACCTTTGGGCGGAAGGAAGCTTCCGGCCAAAGCGTAACCCCCAGACCATTGGGATCCCATCGGCAGCAGGACTCGTGAAACGACAGAGCCTGCAGTTCACTCACACGCTTACCCGAGGCCATAGCCAGAAGAAAAGCGGTCTTAAGGGAGACCCACTTCAGGTCCACACGATCCAGGGGCTCAAACGGGGGAGCCCGCAACGCCTCCAGAACCAACGTCAGGTCCCAGGGTGGAACCATGGGCCGTCGCGGGGGATGAAGACGGCGAGCACCCTTCAGGAACAGGGAAACATCCCCGTTACTCCCCACCGTAGAACCGGCCACACCCTCATGAAAACAAGATATTGCCGCCACATATACCTTGAGTGTAGAGGGAGAGCGCCCCCGGTCCATGAGATCCTGGAGGAACTGCAGAATGGCAGGCACCGGGCAACGCACAGCATCATGTCCCCACGTCAGACACCACTTGTCAAACAGCTTCCATCGGTTGGCGTACTGTCGTCGAGTGGAAGGCGCCCTGGCATTGGAGATGGTGTGGGCGACCCCCTCACCATACCTCGGGACAATTGCACTGGACCCCGCAGTGGCCACACCCAGAGCTGAAGCCGCTCGGGACTGGGGTGCAGGAGCCTCCCCCCCAGCTGGGACAGGAGATCCCGCCGTCGGGGCAGCGGTCTCTGAGAGCCGCAGCAGAGCCTGTGCAGCAATGGAAACCAGATCCGGCCCGGCCAGAACGGAGCTACCAGGAGAAGGTGGTGCCCCTCCTGGAGAACTCTCAGGAGGGTTGGGAAAATTAGTGGCAGAGGAGGGAAAGCGTAGAGCAGCGTACTGGGCCAATCGTGCGCCAGCGCATCCAGGCCCAGAGGGCAAGCCACGTCCGTCAGGGAAAACCACAGCGGGCAGTGGGTCGACGCCTCCGACGCATACAGGTCCACCTCGGCCCGGCCAAACATAGTCCAAATGCTGGCCACCACCTCCGGGTGGAGACGCCACTCCCCGGGCTGGGGGCGTTGGCGGGACAGAAGGTCCGCCACCACATTGTGCACCCCCGGAATGTAGGAGGCCCTCAAGCTTGCCAAGCGAAGGGCTGCCCACAGCAGTAGCTCCCGGGTCAACCGCAACAGCGTCACGGACCGGGTACCCCCCAGGTGGTTGACGTGATGCACCACCGTGGTGTTGTCGGACCGCACCATGACATGCCGGCCACGCAGTCGTGGGAGGAAGTGCGCGAGAGCAAGGCGGACCGCCATGAGCTCCAGGGCATTCACATGCAGCCGGCGGACCTCTGGAGACCAAGTCCCCTGTGCCATCCTGCCCTGCCACGTCGCCCCCCAACCAGTGAGGGACGCATCGGTGTGCACCACCTCCCTCCGAGACGGAAGAGAGCCCAGTGGGACACCACCCTCGATCCAAGACCTGTCCCGCCAACAGGATAGGGACTCCAGGCACTGCGGCGAGAGCAGGAGTCTGCGTCGCCTGTGAACGAAGCGTGACGGATCTAAACGTAATCCGTTCAGCCACATCTGCATGGGACGAAGGGAGAGAAGGCCCAGCGGCACAACGGCAGAGGCCGCCGTCAACTTCCCCAAGAGGCTGAGGTACAGCAGGAACGGCAACGCCCGACCCCGCTGAAATCTGTGGAGCATGTCCACAATGCCATCGACCCGCAGAGCCGACGGACGGGCGGTCATGGCAACCGAATCTAGGTACACCCCCAGGAAAGTCGTTGCCTGAGCCGGAACCAAATTGCTCTTGGCAACATTGACCCGCAGACCCAAACGCCCAACGTGGTCGAGGACAGTCTGAGTGTCCCGAACGGCCTGGGCACGACTGGAGGCGCACACGAGCCAGTCGTCCAGATAAGGCAGGACCCTCAACCCCCCTGCCTGAAGAGGGGCCAAGGCCGCCGCAACGACCCGGGAAAAGACCCTGGGGGACAGGGACAGCCCGAAGGGGAGCACCCGAAATTGATAATGCCGCCCCCGGAAAGCAAAACGCAGAAACCGCTGGTGATGCGGGGCAATCGGCACGTGAAAATAAGCATCCTTCAGGTCGATGGATGTGAACCAATCGCCCGGAGATATTGCCTGCAACAGCTCCGGGGTCCTCAACATCCGAAACGATATCGTCTTGAGGAACACATTGAGGCCCCGAAGGTCCAAAACCGGACGCCAGTCGCCAGTTTTCTTCGGAACTAGAAAATAAATCGAATAAAAGCCCCCTGGGTCCAGCAGGGGGTCCACAGGCACTATAGCCTCCTTGTCCAGCAAGGTGGCAATCTCTACGGACAGTGCCAGTGTCCTGGCCCGGTCGTGGATCACAGTCCACCTGACGGGGCCAGGGACCGCAGGCCGACGGTGGAACTGGAGAGTGTACCCCCGGGAGAGCGTGCCCAACACCCAGAGGTCTGAGGTGTGAGCGGTCCAGTAGTCCAACTGCTCCCGGGTAAAAGAACCCACCGTCAGCGGCCTGACCTCATCTCCGAGCCCCCCGTGGCCTGGAGACCCCGGGGGGGCGCCCGAGAGCCCGTGCGTTCTGGGGAGGCCGCCGGGTAGAAGGCCGAAAGCCCCTATGGTCAGGCGGAGGGACACCTGGTGGCCGCGAACCCCTAGGAAAGGGCTGTGGAACACCATACACCCGCGGAGTAGCAGCAGGAGGGGCAACCCGTGGAGAGGCCCGCCGGTGCAGCCCAACCAGCTGGTCACGCGTCCGGGTGGCCTGCGCCGTGCGCTCCAGCGCCTGAAGCGCAGCCGCACCAAAGAGCTCCCCCGGAAGCACCGGAACACTCCGGAGAGTCCTCCTACAGGGCTCAGTGAGGGGTGACTGTGCCAACCACACCTGCCGACGTGTCTGAGTCAGGGTCGACAGCAGGCGGCCCAGTTCCCGCGACATAAGGGCAAAAGCGTGGAGGGATGCATCCAACAGTCCCTGGGTCGGGGCATCGACTGTAGAAACCTCCAGTGCGTTCGAAAGGCCCAGTAACAAATGGGAAAGAGAGTTCCCCATGCGCCCCATTCGCGCCCCAGTATCGTACGCCCGACACAGCAGCTCATCTGTGAGGCGACACTGGGGGTTAGGGCACCTCGGATCAGACCGGAGGGCCTCCTCCGGCGAAACAATCAAGGAGGCCACTGCCGGCTCGACGGGCGGCATGTGGCCCAAGCCAAATTTGGGGGGCATCCTGCATTGAAGCCAAAGCCCGGCCATCGGACGTCAGTCTGGACATAGCCTTTGTATCCGTCCAGCATGCATGTAACTCCTTCACGTACTCCATCGAAGGAGGCACAGAGACAGAGGGAAGGGGCCGCTGTCGCTTAAAGAAGGCGCTACCAGACGGCACAGTTCCCTGCGGGACATCAAGCCCCAAGTGGGCGAGTGCAGAGCGGACGGCAGAGGACGCCCCACTCTCCTCTCCGTCCAGGCACCCCGTGGACGCCAAGGAACCAGCGTCAGAGGCCCTGGAATCAACCTCCTCAGGGTCAAGACGAAAAATGAGTGTCAGATGCAGCCACAGACATCACATCGTCCTCCCACAACGGGGCCAGGTCCGGCACAGGAGGGCCCAGCACATGTACCCCCGAAACCGGGCGAACATCCTGCAGAAGTGCCTTCATTTGGGCCATCTCGGACGCAAGGTGGTCCATCCGTGCAGACAACCCTGCAGGCACCCTACGCTTCCTCTGCGGAGCCGAGGAAGCAGTGGACACAGCCGCACGCTTAGACCCAGAGGGCTGGGCAGCAGGTGGCAGGCAGGGCGGCACCTCCGAAGAGCCCTCATCCGGATCCAGGGCCGCCAGGCGCTCCACGCGTACAGAGAGTGGCAGTACCGCACAATTGGAGCAGGCGTCCACCGTCAGGCCCTGTCTCAAATGCCCGATACCCAGGCACGCAGGGCAGAGGTCATGGCCATCCTCGCGGGGCATCGGTGCCATGCACCCACGACAGCCCAGCGACTCGTGCATAACGAGCGCGCCTGAACTGGTGGAGCAATGTAAGCAGAGTCGGGTCGAGCTGAAAACGCCACAGACGACTCAAGCACACAGAGAAAACCAAACAACCGAACAGAGGGCGAACAGTCTAACTGTTGGTAAAGAAAAACTAATGTTAGCATAAACTGAAAACAGAAGAGCCAACGAAAATGTACAAACACACAATGTGGGCCAACGAAAGAGTCCGGTGGGGCAGAGAACGCCACACTCGCCTCCACAACCAGAGCAATATCAACAAACTGAACAGAAATCGAACAGTATAACTGCTGATATAAAAATACGCTAGTACAAACTGAAAACAGAAGACTAGACGAAATAATGCACACACGCACCCAACGTGGGCTGAGTAAAGAGCCAGGTGTGGCAGAGGACACCACCCACGGCTCCCCAAACAGAGCAAAAGTAACACACTGAACAGAGGACGAACAGTATAACTGTTGATAGATGAAACAAAACGCTAGTACACACTGAAAACAGGAGACTAGACGAAAATGTACACACAAACACAACGTGGTCGGGGCAGGGAACGCCACACACACGACTCAATTAACACCGGCCAAACAGAGCATAAACACAAACTGAACAGAAAACGAACAGTATAACCGTGGACATCAAACGTCAGCTCACTCCGAAACGGAAAGCTTAAACTAAAAATCACACGCACACACGTGGACAGAACTCACCGGTGAGCCGGCGGAGCTTGCACAGCCCCTGAGGGGCGAGATCCACCCGCTGCCTCGACGCGAGTCACGGAGCTGATGTGCAAGCAGTACGTATGTGGTAGGTAGGTAGCACAAACGCTCAAACACACACGCACAACTCAAACCTGCGCTGCGAGAAGAAGAAAAGAGGCTGGGCTCTCGTGTCACGTGACCTATATAGACTCACGGGGGTCACGAGGAGGTCACAAGTGACTTTGTTGTCATTTAATTCTCGAACTGCGCATGCTCAAAGATGATCATTCAGTGCTTAAAGCACCGCCTCTGGCGGTCAGGAAGGATGAAATAGAACAGCTCTGCTTGTGTACAAGTCTCTCCATGGCCTCGCACCAAAATATATTAGTGACATGTTAGTCCCATATGAACCAGCCCGGACTCTGAGGAGCACAGGGACTGGACTCCTGTAGTGCCCAGAGTCAGAACTAAACATGGGGAGGCTGCTTTTCAGATTCATGCTGCTAAAATCTGGAACAGTCTTCCTGAAGATGTGAGACAGGCCTCCTCAATGACAATGTTTAAAACCAGGTTAAAGACATTTCTGTTTAGCTGTGCATACAACTGAGGGATTTTATATTTTTATCTTTCTTTTTAATGTTCTGTGATTATTTATGGTTTTAATGCTTTCTTGTTTTGTTCAGCACTTTGAATTGTGCTATATAAATAAACTTGCCTTGCCTTGCCTTGCCTTGCCTATATTTATTCTGTATTTGTTCTAACATGGCGGCACGGTGGCTGAGTGGATAGCACTCTCGCCTCTCAGCAAGAAGGTCCTGGGTTCGAATCCCGGTCGGACCAGGGCCTTTCTGAGTGGAGTTTGCATGTTCTCCCCGTGTCTGCGTAGGTTTCCTCTGGGTACTCCGGTTTCCCCTACCACTAAAAATATGTCCAATAGTTCTGGCATGCGCCTCCTGTACTGGCCCCGCTCCCATCTCTGTGTGGAGTGAGAGACAAATGCCCAAAATTAACAATTGTAAACCGCTTTGAGACTCAGATCTGCAGTGAAAAGGCGGTATATAAATAAAGATTACTTTAAAGATTACTTACTTTAATAACATACATATTTGTGGTGTGTGTAGGTCTGAATGGACGGCCGGTCTGCACAGTTCGAGACGACTGGTTTGTGTCTTCCTCGTTGTTCCCTCACCCTCTCCTCAAAGCGAACACCTGCAGGAGAACCCAGGATCTGCCGCTCGCTCGCAGTCTCTACGCCTCCAGCTCCGGCAGAAACAAACCAGGTGAGATCCCCTTTAACATCTATGGAACCAGGAAGTAAACATATAATTCGACTTCTCTGTAGGTTTGCTGTCTGAGATGTGGCGCGACGAGCTAAAGGAGCTAGCAGCGCGGATTTCAGCGACTTCAAAGCCACAAAAGGACAAAAAAGAGGTAAACGCAGGTTTTCAAATAAATTCATTGTTGAGAGACCAGAGAGGGACCAGAGAGAGATCAGAGAGAGATCAGAGAGAGAGACCAGAGAGAGACCAGAGAGAGATCAGAGAGAGATCAGAGAGAGATCAGAGAGAGATCAGAGAGAGATCAGAGAGAGATCAGAGAAAGAGAGACCAGAGAGAGACCAGAGAGAGACTAGAGGGAGACCAGAGAGAGACCAGAGAGAGGAAAGACCAGAATGAGACCAGAGAGAGACCAGAGTGAGACCAGAGAGAGACCAGAGAGAGGAAAGACCAGAATGAGACCAGAGAGAGACCAGAGAGAGACCAGAGAGAGACAGGTTAGTTTTACCGTACTAATTATGTGTTGTTGCACTCACACCACACACACACACACACACACACACACACACACACACACACATCATTAGTGCTCAGTGGATTAATTCCGTATGTCGAAGTCATCATAGATTTAAAAAGGTCGCAGCGTTCCCTGGAGAAATCCTGGTTTATCTGAGCTGATATTAAAGGTTTCATTTCATTTTCAAGCCCTTTATTTTCCATTTCTGGGTCGGGGGGGTGGCAATGAGAGCTGCCACCCAATGCTCATAGCACCAGTCCCTCACTGATCCTCTGCAGGGGGTGAGTCCACAGGAAGATGGCTGCTCTGTCAGTGGTGAAACAGCCTTGGTCTTTCAGCGGGGGCTTCAGGCAACGTGGGGTTAAGTGTCTTGCCCAAGGACACAATGACAGTAGACATCAGTGGGAGCAGTTGGAGTAGGTCCCATGGTGGGAATCGAACTCACGACTTCCAGGCTCAAAGGCCACTGCTCTACCAACTGAGCTACTGTCGCCCCGGATATTAAAGGTGCTCTCTGATATTCTACCGTCATAATGTGAGGGTCTCAAACTATGGACCCAGGACCAGACTGTAGCTTTTGCCAAGGTTCCATCACAGACCACAGATTTGGGCCCTTAGACATGATCTTGAGAATATGAACGTAGGCATTAGAATTAACTTGAAAAAGGAGTGGGTGTAGATTTAGATCTAACATGGCGCGGTGTAAAGTCAGCTGCTCTCTCTCTCTTTCTAAATGTCAAAATATCAAACTTCTAGGAGAGAGTTTTTGCTATGACTTTATCTTTTCCGTTTTGAGGAGGGACCCGCGGAAGACGAGCCGATCCGCCGTCAGACCCAGTATTCCTCCGAGACTGGACGCCTCATTCCTGCCTCCTCCAGATCCTTCAGATCCTCCACCTCGTCCCGATCCTCGCACCGGCGCTCATACTCCCGCCTGCAGTCCTCGGCTCATCCTCAGGCGCTGCACGACCAGGAGCTCAAGGTGAACTTCATAGGACACATAAACAGTACGCTAATGTTCTCTCTCTGGTCTTTCTCTGGTCTCTCTCTCTTTCTGGTTACCCTGGTCTGTCTCTCTGGTCTCTCTCTCTCTCTCTCTCTCTTTCTCTCTCTCTCTGGGATCTTTCTTTCTCTCTGATCTGGTCTCTCTCTCTCTCTTTCTCTCTCTCTCTGGGATCTTTCTTTCTCTCTGATCTGGTCTCTATTTCTAGTCACTCTGATCTTCTTCTGGTCCCTCTCTCTTTCTCCCTGGTCACTCTGATCTGTCTCTCTGTTTTTTCTCTCTCTGGTCTCCATTTCTGGTCTCTCTCTCTCTCTCTCTCTCTCTCTCTCTCTCTCTCTCTCTCTCTCTCTTTCCTCTTTGCCAAATGGCTGCACTTTCATTTGCAACATCAGGAAGAGATAAAAGTACATGAGGCTCTGTGTGTAGCTGTATAAGTCCACACACACTCTTTAATCTGTCCATCGATATTTATGCAGGTATTTATATTTATGGTCCCTCAAACAACTAAGGGACATTTTGAAAGAGAGAGAGAGAGAGACCAGTGGGAGACCAGTGGAAGACCAGAGATACCAGAGAGAGTGACCAGAGAGAGACCAAAGAGAGGGACAGACCAGAGAGAGAGACCAGTGAGAGAGAGACCAGCAGGAGCTAAATCATTATATAAATGGATCATAACAGAACAGACCCCCACAGCTGGCGTCTGGTCCTGGGCCTGGTCTCTCTGTGACTCAGTGAGCCACAAATGGAAGCTATTTCTGATTTTAAATGTTCCAGTTAAAGTCAGCGGGAGACAGAACACAGCTCAGAGGGGATCATGGGAGGAACAGATGAACACACACAGCTGCTGCTGCAGAGCACAACACCTTATTGTATAATACTGCATGGAAGTGTGAGATCAATAAAGTCTCTCTTATCTTAATACAAGGTATTACTACAATAGTACTCTGAGGAGCACAGGGACTGGCCTCCTGATGAGAGTCTGGGGAGCACAGAGATTAGGTTCAAAGCTAATATTTCTGTAATTCAGAATCAGAATCATTTTTATTGCCATGTAAGTAACAGGAAGTCACAGACTAAGAAATGGCTTTGGCATAATAACAATCTAATTACATTTCTAAAATTTAAATGAAAATGATTACAGTTATTACTATTGTATATCTACTGTGTGCACTGTGTGAGCATTAAGCAGTGTAGAAGTAAAGTGACATTATAAAGGGCAATAAAGTGACATTATAAAGGGCGGGGGAACAGGTTATGGAGCTGTCAATAGTCCAACAGCAGAAATTGTAAACTGTTAGTGTGGCAGGAGGTTCTGTTCAAACGGAGCCTCCTGCTGAGGAGAGAGGTTGGAATAGTCCATGTTCTACTCGAGCTCGGGCGACGTACAGGTCCTGCAACGATGGGAGGCTGCGGCCAATCACTTCCTCTGCAGAGCGCACGATGCGCTGTAGTCTCTGTTTGTCCCTGACTGTGGCTCCAGCGAACCACACGGTGATGGAGGAGGTGATGGAGGAGGTGAGGATGGACTCGATGATGGCCGTGTAGAACTGCACCAACATCTGTGCAGGCAGCTTGGCTTTCCTGAGCTGCCGCAGGAAGTACATCCTCTGCTGGGCCTTCTTGATGATGGTCGGCTCCCACTTGAGGTCCTGGGTGATGGTGGTGCCCAGGAAACGAAATGAGTCCACAGAGGTGATGGGGGAGTCCATCAGGGCGGGGGGGACAGAGGTGATGGGGGAGTCCATCATGGAGGGTGGGGGTGGGGGGACAGTGCTCTTCCTGAAGTCCACAATCATCTCCACTGTCTTCTGGGCGTTCAGCTCCAGGTTGTTACCACTGCACCAGGACACCAGCCGGTCCACCTCCCTCCTGTAGGCGGACTCATCGTTGTTGGAGATGAGTCCAATGAGGGTGGTGTCGTCGCGAACTTGATCAGCTTCACGGAGTCGTAGCTAAAGGTGCAGTGGTTGGTGTACAGGGAGTTGATCTGCTGTTGATGTTTATGAGGAACATGTCCTGGAATAAATGTTTTTATTCATAATCTTTTCATAATCTTTCCCACAGAGTTGCACTAGCTCCCGCTGAGTGACTGAATTAAGATAAGATATCTTGTTGAACTCATACTGGAGAAATGTACATTTCGGCATGGATAGAATCACTCAGATATTCCAAAAGACAGAATTATCGAATTCTAAAACATGAACTTCACCCACTGTTCATTCGAAGGGGATCTAACTGACATCTGTGGAAGCGTCCCTCTGTCCCCGAACCCCTGGTTGCAGACCCCGGGAGTATTCCTCTGTCGGATGTTTCTCTACATTCAAACATGAGGCTGTAGCTAACGGGACACGTGTCTCTGCCCAGCGGGGGACTCTGGGCTGAAGTCTTCAAAGCCCTCGCTCCTCTCTGTCTCTGCAGGATGTAGATATGAGAACAGCAGCAGGTTGGAGGTTGAAAGCTGCTGTTTCTGTCTTTTGTGTGTTTTGTTTTTGTGGCTGCAGGTGCTGGAGCTGCTGTGCCAGATCCTCCAGACGGACTCTCTCTCCACGGTGCAGAACTGGCTGCTCTTGTCTGGACAGAGAGGTGAGATAAAGATGACAATTTTACAGCAATCACGTCGCAGATTCTATTTTTGTGTCGTCCTGGGTCTGTCATATCAGATCAGAGAATCAAAAACAGTTCAAACACAGAAAATACAACCATTGGTCCATAGAAATCGTGATGATCACTGTCCGGAAATGTTATTAAGTGTCTTGGATCCTTACAGGCTGGAGATTCAGGACTGAGGCTGGAGACCCAGGACTGAGACTGTAGATCCAGGACTGAGACTGTAGATCCAGGACTGAGGCTGTAGACCCAGGACTGAGACTGTAGATCCAGGACTGAGGCTGTAGACCAAGGACTGAGACTGTAGATCCAGGACTGAGGCTGTAGATCCAGGACTGAGACTGTAGATCCAGGACTGAGACTGTAGATCCAGGACTGAGGCTGTAGACCAAGGACTGAGGCTGTAGACCAAGGACTGAGGCTGTAGACCCAGAACTGAGGCTGTAGACCCAGGACTGAGGCTGTAGATCCAGGACTGAGGCTGTAGATCCAGGACTGAGGCTGTAGACCCAGGACTGAGGCTGTAGACCCAGGACTGAGGCTGTAGATCCAGGACTGAGGCTGTAGACCCAGGACTGAGGCTGTAGACCCAGGACTGAGGCTGTAGATCCAGGACTGAGGCTGTAGATCCAGGACTGAGGCTGTAGACCCAGGACTGAGGCTGTAGACCCAGGACTGAGGCTGTAGATCCAGGACTGAGGCTGTAGACCCAGGACTGAGACTGTAGATCCAGGACTGAGGCTGTAGACCCAGGACTGAGGCTGTAGACCCAGGACTGAGACTGTAGATCCAGGACTGAGGCTGTAGATCCAGGACTGAGGCTGTAGACCAAGGACTGAGGCTGTAGATCCAGGACTGACGCTGTAGATCCAGGACTGAGACTGTAGATCCAGGACTGAGGCTGCAGATCCAGGACTGAGGCTGTAGATCCATACATGGGATTGGAGGTCCACATCGCCACAGATTCTAATGCAAGAAAATCCTAAAAAAATATTATATACATATTGTTGGCCACGTTCTTACCCCTGGTACCCTTTTGTGACATTTAAGGACATTACTTTACAATAATAGACAGTGGTCATCCTGCTCCCTATGGACGGATGGCTTTATGTTTTTGTTATGACTGTATTTCCTGTATTTGATTACCTGGTTGGTCTGTATTCCAATGTCTGCTGTTGTTATTGAACTGAATTGAATCCTCGAACAATTCATTGCACAAAAGAAGCACAATCCAATCCCATGTCCTTGTATTTCACAATGTAGAATCCAAATCTCTCTCTATTCTCTATCTCTCTGGTGTCTCTCTCTGGTCTCTCTCTGGTCTCTAGGTCTCTCTCTGGTCTCTCTCTGGTCTATCCCTAGTTTTATTGGACAAAAGAAACACCATATCCAAACCCATTTCCTCATAGTAAACTAAAGAATTTACTCCAGTCTACTGTCTCTACAAATGAGTCAATGAACATGATGCAGCTTGTTCACTTCAGTGATTTTCTGCTCCAGTGGAAGAAACTCAATTATTACAGACAATACTTACTCAGAAGAAGAAGCTATTCTGAGACTTTAAAGTGCCTCTCCGAAAGCACTTGTTTGTCCTTCCTGTCATTCTCAGGGAGTTCAACTTTTGTCTACCTCGACAATTAAATGTTCTCTCCGGAAGACATTTGAGAACGATACAAAAGATTCTGGTTTGCCAAATATGCACAATTTCCTCTCAATGTATGTTTGCATATTTCCCTAAATCACAACAGCAGTCGAGACGAGGATGTTATACTGTTTTCAATTCTCCCAAGAAAAAGATCAGAGAATCAGACAATTCAAATACAGGAAATGCAACAAAAACAAAGACACATAAGTGGTTGGTCCATAGGGAGCGGGTCGACCACTGTCCTTAGACTCTCCTGTATAGGCAGGAAACAGATTCAAAAACGGGTAGGCTGTAGATCAAAGACTGAGGCTTGAAACCAAAAAAGGTAGTTCAACTCAAAATGTCAAGGTAACTGGCTGCACGCGACTTTTGAGTTGAAGGCATCAAATTAATTATTTACATTTTGAAGAACTACAAGTAAATGATCTTTAATTATATTCTGCCTTTCACAGACCAGAGTCACAAAGTGGTTATTTTTGGGCATTCGTCCTCTCACTCCACACAGAGCGGGGTCACCAGTACAGGAGGCACATGCCAGACCTATTGTACTATGTTTTTAGTGGTCGGGGAAACCGGAGCACCCGGAGGAAACCTACACAGACACGGGGAGAACATGCAAACTCCACTCAGAAAGGCTCTGCTCTGACAGGGATTCGAACACAGGACCTTCTTGCTGAGAAGTGAGAGTGCTATCCACTCAGCCACCGTGCCGCTGTTGTGTCTGCTAAGTTTTTCAAGTTCTGCCAACTACGTTTTTGTAATTCAAGTTACTGGGACTTTCAAGTCTGTAAAAACGTACTATTTTGAATTCAGATTACAGTCCCCTGCAATAACTTACTATTTTGAGTTTAAATTACCCCCCACATTAAATCATCCTGTGTCATCCTCATGTGTATTTATATAGCGCTTTTACAGACCAAGGTCACTTGGGTAGGAGAAAGTGGAGCACCAGGAGGAAACCTATGCAGACACAGAGAACATGCAAAATCCACTCAGACAGGCCATGTCCCGACCAGGATACGAACCTGGGACCTTCTTGCCAAGAAGCGAGAGTGCTATCCACTCAGCCACCTAGCCACACACACACTGTAGTGTGGGAAAACCAATTTCAATCTGAAGACACCAAAGACACAATACATTAAAATGATTTATTTATTTGGAGCATTGACCCCGGCAGTGACACTTGCAGCGATGAGATCGATTGTAGCTGAAGATGATCTCAGATCCCTGGAGTCACTGGTTATGGGTAGAGTATGGTGTGAATGGGGCGTAGGCGGCGCAGGAGCCAGGGTAGGAGCCAGAGGGGGTGCTGGGGAGGTGGTGGGTGTTTAAGAGCTCCAGGAAGTGGCTGCCTTTTAAACTGCCCGCTTGTTTGTGAGAGGGTTGCAGGAGGCTGGCAGAGCTGTGTGATTGGTTGGCTTGGAAGGGGGAATTTGCACTAGGTCTTTCAGTCTGAACTTCCACCTCAGCTTCATGTTTCTTAAGGAAATGTGTTTCTTGTTCCCTCAATAAAGATTAGTTTTATAAATACCATAAACATAACAATATAAGTTCATTAAAATGAAGCTGAATGTGCAGGTTCAGACTGAAAGACCGAGTGCCTGCCAGCCTCGAGCCTCAGCCAATCACACAGCTCTGCCAGCCTCGAGCCTCAGCCAATCACACAGCTCTGCCAGCCTCGAGCCTCAGCCAATCACACAGCCAGGCCAGCCTCCTGCCAACCCTCTCAGAGCAAAGCGGGCAGTTTAAAAGGCAGCCACTTCCTGACAAACAACGCTTCCTGAGGCTCTTAAACACCCACCACCTCCCCAGCTCCCCCTCTGGCTCCTGCCCTGGCTCCTGCCCTGGCTCCTGCCCTGGCTCCTGCCCTGGCTCCTGCCCTGGCTCCTGCCCTGGCTCCTCCCTTGGCTCCTGCCCTGGCTCCTGCTCCGCCTACGCCCCATTCACACCATACTCTAGCCACCACCAGTACTTGACCCCGGGGGATCTGAGATCATCTTCAGCTGCAATCGATCTCATCGCTGCAAGTGTCACTGCCGGGGTCAACGCGCCAAACAAATAAATCATTTTAATGTATTAATTGTGTCTTTGGTCTCTTCAGATTGAACACAGTCTTTATTAACACTCATTAGCTCACTAGACTAACTTACACATTGTTTGTACTGATCCGTTTTAGTTTTATAAATACCATAAACAAAATGATACAAGCTCATTCAATAGTTATGTATTAGTCTTAAGGTCCTGAACTCTATAACTCTCAGATTGAGAAGCAACTCAATTAGTTTATTTTCTGTCAAGTACTGCATTCAGTCACAGTGACCTTTGATTACAATTTGAACATTTTACAAGACTGACCCAGGGAATATAGGGCTACTTTGGATTGGCCCTGTCGATTACGGTTGGTAAAAATAAATACAATGATTTATTTGGTCAAATGAGTTTATTCAAAATGTTGAATGCAGCCGGTTGCCATGACAATTTTGAAATGAGCGCAGATAAGTTGACCTCACTCTAGCTCGGTGCACTGTAAAAAGGACAATTAAAATGTGTTCACCTTACTGAGATTTTTGCATTCACTGACAATAAAATTACCAGTTGGAACTTGAACTGTCTGTTGTGAGCCACTTGAACTCACTTTCAGAAGTTGATTTTAGATTCAGATTTCAGATTTAGATTCAGTTTATTTGCCATTTGCAGTAAAAAAAACCACATTGGAATACATTAGAAAAAGTCTCCAGTGTGCACAGACAAATACAGACATAAAACAACATTAAAAGACAAAAATAAAACAAATAAAACAGTAAACAAATGTCACTGTGAAATCGATCGACTAAAACAGTTTCAAAATAAGTGCAAATCATTAAAGTGCTCTGTTCACACTGATAACAGCTTGTGGATAAAAACTGTTAGCGTAACGAGATGTCCTGCATCTCAGAGAGCGATATCTTCTGCCAGAGGGAAGAAGCTGGAACATGGCTTTTCCAGGGTGGCCAGAAGAGTCATTAACAATCCTAAGAGCTTTGTTTAAAAGTCTGGATTTATAAAGAACCTCCAGAACAGGAAGCTCACAGCCCACGGTCCTCTTTGCAGAGCGGAGCACCTTGTTTAAAGCTCTCTTTTCTTTATCTGTGATGTTTCCAAACCACACAGACACAGAACCAACAAGTAAACCCTCAATGGTGCAGCGATAAAAGTTAAGCAGAATCTTAGAGTTAGTGGTAAATTCTCTAAGTTTACGCAGAAAGTAGAGACGCTGACGAGCTTTCTTAACGACTCGGTCAGTGTTTTTAACCCATTTCAGGTTAGACAGAGTTAAACCCAGAAACTTACACTCCTCTACGATCTGCACCTGGGAGTTGTCGATTACGACAGGCAAATGAGAACTATTGTGACTGAAGTCTTAGACCAGTTCACATGTTTTTGTGAACTGGTCCTACAACTTCAAAGTAAAATGTATTTAATATTTATCAAATAAGGTGAACTTTTCATCAGTAACTTCTGAAAGTGAGTTCAAGTGGCTCACAACAGACAGTTCAAGTTCCAACTTGCAATTTTATTGTCAGTGAATTCAAACATCTTAGTAAGGTGAACAATTTTGAGTTGTTGTTTTTTACAGTGTAGACCTAGGACTGGGGCTGTAGATCCAGGACTGAGGCTGTAGATGTAACTTTCTGTGGCCCACAGAGAAGGATCTGGTGATGGGGATGCTGAAGCAGGCTCTGGGGGGGATGGAGACCTTCAGGACCTACCCTGACCTCCCCCCACACCTCTCTCCCAACCTGGATCCAGCCTGGCCCCCACCACCACAGCCGAGGACCAGGTCTGAAAAACACAAATTAAAATCCACTTACATTTCAAACTCTTCTGACTGTCACCTCTCGTCTCGCAGCTCGAACAGACCTCCTCTCTCAGCCGACAAACCAGGTGAGATCTACATGATGCTAGAATCCTATTTCCTAATTATTTTTTGCTACATGCCTTTGGTCTTTCTAGTCTCTTTGGTTTCTCAGTTCTCTCTCTATTCTCTATCCCGCTGGTCTCTTTGGTCTCTCTCTGGTCTCTCTCTATTCTCTATCTCGCTGGTCTCTTTGGTCTCTCTCTGGTCTCTCTCTATTCTCTATCTCGCTGGTCTCTTTGGTCTCTCTCTGGTCTCTCTCTGGTCTCTCTATTCTCTATCTATCTGGTCTCTCTCTGGTCTCTTTGGTCTCTCTCTGGTCTCTTTGGTCTCTCTCTGGTCTCTCTGGTCTCTCTCTGGTCTCTCTATTCTCTATCTATCTGGTCTCTTTGGTCTCTTTCTGGTCTCTCTTAAGTCTCTCTAGTATCTCTCTGGTCTTGCTCCAGTCTCTCCCTGGTGTCTCTCTGCTCCCTCTCTATTCTCTATCTCTTTGCTCTCTTCTCTCTCTGTTCAACCTTTTCTGTCGTCTTTCTCACTCGTGTCTTCTCCACAGAGAGAATCGGAGAAGCAGAAGTCTTCCACGTCCACGTTCCAAACCAGAGTCTGGATGACATCACCGAGCAATAATCCCCATTCCCCCTTTTTGTTTGTTATTAACCAATTGTTGATGGTAATTGCAGAGAAGAATCGTCTTGATTATTATGTATTTAGGGAAACACAGGGAGACATCTTGACTCTCTCTCTCTGGTCTCTCTCTGGTCTCTCCCTAGTCTCTCTCTTTTCTCTATCTCTCTGTTCTTTCTCATCTCTATCTCTCTGGTCCTTTTGGTCTCGCTCTGGTCTCTCTGGTCTCTTTAGTAACCTTCAAAATGTCCTGTATTTCGGCATGAATTCGGCCATCAAATTTGCACTCAAAAAATGTGCCCAGGCTGTAGACCCAGGACTGAGGCTGTAGATCCGTCATAATATCCTTGTAGTTTATGAATGATAAGTACATGCCTCATCTTCACTCAGCTCTCAGCTCATGCCCCCACCCTCCTCCTCCTCCTCAAGAATGGGACTTTCTCTCATCTCCTCCTCCACCACTAGAGACCAGACCAGGCTGCATTATAGTTTTTCAGGTTCAATATTTCTATACCTCACTGAGACTGAGACTCGCTGGGTCTCAGTCTGTGAAGCCATACATGTGTAAAGCAAACCTAACTCAATAAAATATTACAATACATCCCTTTGTCTGAGTCTTTCATAGACTCTAATGTCTCTTTGGGCTCTCCGCTCTCTTTCTGGTCTCTCTGGTTCTTTGGTTTCTCTCTGGTCTCTCTGGGGTCTCTCTGGTCTCTCTCGGGTCAACTGGCCTCTCTCTGGTCTCTCTCTGGTTTCTCTCTGGTCTCTCTGGTTTCTCTCTGGTCTCTCTGGTTTTTCTCGGGTCTCTCTGGTGTCTCTCTGGTCTCTCTGGGGTCTCTCTGGTTTCTCTCGGGTCTCGCTGGTTTCTCTGGTCTCTCTCTGGTCTTTCTCTGTTCATTTCTCTCTCATTCTCAATAATTCATAATAATAGTCTTGCCATTTCCCATGCACTTATTATGTTCACGCATTATGTTCTTAGTCTTTTTGACTGGCTCCATTTCACGGCAAAGCTGGTCAAAAGTCGTTTTAATTAAACCCTGTTCCATACTTTTATTATTAATCTATTCGACCTCTGCCTTAAGAGTTCACCCGCCTGCTTTCATTAGAGATCAGAAGAATACTGATGGATTCACATAATAATATACTGTATTTTGTGGTAAAACTATATTGAGGAAGCTTCAAACCGTCAAACTGATGCAACACTTCCACAAGCTTTATCTTAGCTCTAACTTTATCTAAAGAAAACATAGATGTAGTTTTGTGTGGGGAAAAAACTACAGCTATGATAGAGAAAATAGAGCCAGTTATCGCTCTCCGGCAGTGTCTGTGTCCATGGAAGAAGAACCCATTGAAACTTGCGGGTTGTTCCGCACTTCCTTTTTCTTCCGCTTGATCTGTTGCCGGGTCACAGCGGCAGCAGCCCCTCCAGGTCTTGTGAAGACCCAGGGAGGCGTCCAGGAGGCCTCTGGATTTGCTGAAAATTTAAATACAGAAATACCATGCGTTTTATTTTGGCTTTTACACATGATAACGAGACTGTTTGCTTTGTCATTTCTTGTCTCTGGTCTCTCTCTGGTCTCTTTTTGGTCTCTCTCTTGTCTCTCTCTGGTCTCTCTCTGGTCTCTCTCTGGTCTCTCTCTGGTTTCTCTCTTGTCTCTCTCTTGTCTCTCTCTGGTTTCTCTCTTGTCTCTCTCTTGTCTCTCTCTGGTCTCTCTCTGGTCTCTCTCTGGTTTCTCTCTTGTCTCTCTCTTGTCTCTCTCTGGTTTCTCTCTTGTCTCTCTCTGGTTTCTCTCTTGTCTCTCTCTTGTCTCTCTCTGGTTTCTCTCTTGTCTCTCTCTTGTCTCTCTCTGGTCTCTCTCTTGTCTCTCTCTTGTCTCTCTCTGGTCTATCTAGTCTCTTTGGCCCCTTTAGTCTGTCTCCGGTCTCTGCTCTCTCTCTGTTCTCTCTCTGCTCTCTCTTTTTTCTCTCTCTGGTCTCTCTTCTCTTTGCTCTCTCTCTGTTCTCGCTCTGACAACGACTGAAAGAAAAAGTGGGAAGATAAAAAACTAATAGAAGGTTGGTTGCTCTCAGCGTTGTCCTTGTGCTTGCACCGTGAAAATTAAACTGAAAAGAAAACACAGGAAATGTGGAGGCACTCACCATGTCCTGGTCCTTTATGAAACACTCATTCCAAACCTTCATTCTTATTCTTTTTACAAAGTGCTGCTCAGAATACACAGAAGAATTCACAAAATTCTCAAAAGCGTTGCAAACACTCTCTGGTCTCTCTCTGTTTGCTCTATCTCTGGTCTACCTGAGGTCTCTCTCTGATCTCTCTCTGGTCTCTCTCTGGTTTCTCTCTGTTCTCTCTCTGGTCTCTCTCTGGTCTACCTCAGGTCTCTCTCTGGTCTACCTCAGGTCTCTCTCTGGTCTCTCTCTGGTCTCTCTCTGATTTCTCTCTGGTCTACCTCAGGTCTCTCTCTGGTCTCTCTCTGGTCTCTCTCTGGTCTCTCTCTGGTCTCTCTCTGGTCTACCTAAGGTCTCTCTCTGGTCTCTTTCTGGTTTCTCTCTGGTCTCTCTCTGGTCTACCTAAGGTCTCTCTCTGGTCTCTCTCTGGTTTCTCTCTGGTCTCTCTCTGGTTTCTCTCTGGTTTCTCTCTGTTCTCTCTCTGGTCTCTCTCTGGTTTCTCTCTGGTCTCTCTCTGGTCTCTCTCTGGTCTACCTAAGGTCTCTCTCTGGTCTCTCTCTGGTCTCTCTCTGGTCCCTCTCTGGTCTACCTAAGGTCTCTCTCTGGTCTCTCTCTGTTCTCTCTCTGGTCTCTCTCTGGTCTCTCTCTGGTTTCTCTCTGGTCTCTCTCTGGTCTCTCTCTGGTCTACCTAAGGTATCTCTCTGGTCTCTCTCTGGTCTCTCTCTGGTCTACCTAAGGTCTCTCTCTGGTATCTCTCTGGTCTCTCTCTGGTCTCTCTCTGGTTTCTCTCTGTTCTCTCTCTGGTCTCTCGCGGGTCTCTCTCTGGTCTCTCTCTGGTCTCACTCTGGTCTCTCTCTGGTCTCTCTCTGGTCTCTCTCTGGTCTACCTGAGGTCTCTCTCTGGTCTACCTCAGGTCTCTCTCTGGTCTCTCTCTGGTCTCTCTCTGATTTCTTTCTGGTCTACCTCAGGTCTCTCTCAGGTCTCTCTTTCTGGTTCCTCTGGTTTCTCTCTGGTCTCCCTCTGGTTTCTCTCTGATTTCTCTCTTGTCTCTCTCTGGTCTCTCTATTCTCTCTCTAGTCAACAACTTCAATGAATAAGCAGCTCACACAACAGCCTCACTCACCCAAACACAGCTCCACGGCTCGCCATGCCGCCTTCATCATATCACTGACCCTCATGTGACTTGTGTGTATTTTGAACTATTTTATTTATGGTCTGGTCTCTAGGTTTCTCTGGCTCTGCTTCAGTCTGGCCACAATCTGGCTTGGTCTGGTCTTGCTTTGGCCCTGACCTACTGGTTTCTCCCTGGTTTGAGTTTTCTTTAGCCTCGCCTTGGTCTCTGAGTTTCTCTGGCTATACTATGGTCTGGTCTCTGTCTGGTTCTGCTCTGGGCTGGTCATGGTCTGGCTCTCGTCTCTCTCTCTCTCTCTCTCTCTCTCTCTCTCTCTTTGCTCTCTGTCTGGTCTGGCTCTCGTCTCTCTCTCTCTCTCTCTCTCTCTCTCTCTCTCTCTTTGCTCTCTGTCTGGTCTGGCTCTGGTCTCTCTCTGGCGCCCTCGGCACAGGTGGAGTCCGGGGCTGACGTCACACTTCCTCTTGGTGAAGGACAGGTGTTGTGGCTCAAGGCAAAGACAGAGAGCAGAGGGAGATAGGAGCAGAGATGAAGGGCAAGTCTTGGAGAAGGAAGAAAGAAAGACAGATAGAGGAGCAAAGATAAAGATGGAAAGAGAGAGAGAGAGATATGAGGCTCTATCACACTCACAGCATAAATCCAAATCAAATCAGACCTTAAACTAATACCTCATAAATAATGGGTTATTTTGATATTTAAAACAGTCAAATGTTTGGCGTTGTCCATAGAATTTGGTTGAACTTAAGATCTCTTGCATGAAGGGTGCATAAATACATAAATGTTACCCATCCAAATTAAGCATGACCCTTTTTAAAGCCAGGGTACCTTTTTTTCTCATGAAAGAGTCAGACCACAACACCATTTGCTGTTTTTCTAACAGCGGTTTTGATTAAAATAACAGAAATGGGTTTTTGGAACGTTAAAAGACTGAAGTTAAGACATTCTGATGACATTGTTCCACCACCACGACAACTGTTGAGCCCAAGAGGTTCATCTCTGTACCTTTGATACTGACATGTTACCCACATGGTCCAGGGAGCAGGTGACTGAGCTGAGACCATTCCACCTTGTTCCTGGACAAACTGGAGGAACCAGGTGTGAGCAATGGCAGTTCAAACACTTTTACGGCTTCAATGTTCTGCCAAGTTCTACACTCAGAGAAACGTTCATATTTTGGATACTTAGGCCCAGTTTGTACGGAGACGATGTTAACAGTAAAACGTTAGAGTGTGGTACCGGTTTGGCCTCCAGTTTACATGGAGACGGTATATCAGGTAAAAGCACAAACGTGGAGAAACAGCCTCCAGAGGGGAACAGAACAGATACCTGCTTGGTGAGGGCGTGAACTCTCCGCTGCTATGACCTCAGCACTTCCCCGCACATATATTTGGACATGTGCTTTAGCCGAGAACAAACGTAAACAACAATGGCGGCGGATCAACTAATGCTACGTGTGCTTCGAGCGCTGCACGGGGGAGAATTCTACTCCTTGGTCCAAACTAAACCACGCCTTAGAAAGCGTCCTGCATCTACAGCCTCAGTCCTGGGTCTACAACCTCAGTCCTGGATCTATAGCCTCAGTCCTGGATCTATAGCCTCAGTCCTGGATCTATAGCCTCAGTCCTGGATCTACAGCCTCAGTCCTGGGTCTACAGCCTCAGTTCTGGATCTACAGCCTCAGTCCTGCATCTACAGCGTCAGTCCTGGGTCTACGGCCTGAGTCCTGGGTCCACAGCCTGAGTCCTGGGTCTACAGCTTGAGTCCTGGGTCTACAGCTTGACCCCTGGGTCTACAGCTTGAGTCCTGGGTCTACAGCCTGAGTCCAGGGTCTACAGCCTGAGTCCTGGGTCTACAGCTTGAGTCCTGGGTCTTCAGGCTGAGTCCAGGGTCTACAGCCTGAGTCCTGGGTACACGGCACGGTGGCTGAGTGGATAGCACTCTCGCCTCTAGGTCCTGGGTTCGAATCCCGGTCGGACCAGGGCCTTTCTGAGTGGAGTTTGCATGTTCTCCCCGTGTCTGCATAGGTTTCCTCCGGGTACTCCGGTTTCCCCTACCACTAAAAATATGTACAATAGGTCTGGCATGCACCTCCTGTTCGGCGACCCTGCTCCCATCTCTGTGTGGAGTGAGAGACAAATGCCCAAAAAATAACAATTGTAAACCGCTTTGTGACTCTGGTCTCTGAAATGTGGTATATAAATAAAGATCAATTACTTACTTACTGGGTCCACAGCCTGAGTCCTGGGTCTACAGCCTGAGTCTTGGGTCTATAGCCTGAGTCCTGGGTCTACAGCCTGAGTCCTGGGTCCACAGCCTGAGTCTTGGGTCCACAGCCTCAGTCCTGGGTCCACAGCCTGAGTCCTGGGTCCACAGCCTCAGTCCTGGGTCTTCAGCCTCATGACTGCTGCATTAACATTACAAAGATATCTTCTGGAACAGTGGTTAATACTGTGACAATGGTCTCTGCGTCACTCTCAGACCTGATGGAAGAAAATCAGGGCAATGTCCTTACCTTTCTACAAAGGAAGGTTATTTTTATTGCACTTTTACCACAGAAGGGACTGTAGTGGAAGTGAATACATCAGTAATGACATATTTATTTCTGTGAAGCAAACAATCAGTCTTTAGAGCTCCAGCAGGAGGCCAGTCCCTGTGCTCCTCAGATCAGAGCAGGAGGCCAGTCCTTGTGCTCCTCAGATCACAGCAGGAGGCCAGTCCCTGTGCTCCTCAGATCACAGCAGGAGGCCAGTCCCTGTGCTCCGCAGATCACAGCAGGTGGCCAGTCCCTGTGCTCCTCAGATCACAGCAGGAGGCCAGTCCCTGTGCTCCTCAGATCACAGCAAGAGGCCAGTCCCTGTGCTCCTCAGATCACAGCAAGAGGCCAGTCCCTGTGCTCCTCAGATCACAGCAAGAGGCCAGTCCCTGTGCTCCTCAGATCACAGCAAGAGGGGTTCAGATCTGTGTTAAAACAACTCACTTTTGCAAAACAAATCAATGTTGATTGATTGTTGATATTCATTATTTGAGAAGTTACTTTAAAAAAAGATCCTTTTCTTGTTACATGTTAAAGAGTAACTTGTTCATGGTAATAATAATATAAAACAAAAAATAACAGTTGTAAACCGCTTTGTGACTCTGGTCTGTGAAAAGCGGTATATAAATAAACATTACTTACTTACTTACTTAATATAAAGTAAAACAGGTAAAGTGTGTTATCTGTTCAGAATCATCCTTTTCCTGCTCTGCTAAAGGATGGATCACATGGTTACGGTCTCTGTGTTGTGCGCTGGTATCTGCTCAGTCTGGGATAAGATTTCATATCAGAAATGGCCTTCGTTAATGTCCTAAAGTGTGTTTGGGATGATACAAGGACAAGACTTTTCCTTTGTGTCCGTCAACATCTGTGTCCTGCACTGGGGCTGAACGCTTTGTGTGTGTGTGTGTGTGTGTGTGTGTGTGTGTGTGTGTGTGTGTGTGTGTGTGTGTGTGTGTGTGTGTGTGTGTGTGTGTGTGTGTGTGTGTGTGTGTGTGTGTGTGTGCGTGTGTGTGTGTGTGTGTGTGTGTGTGTGTGAACAATCAAGATATAAACAATAAACAATAATATCATAACACAATAATAATTAACAGCACAGTTGCAGCACATTAATAAAATTAATGTGCTGCAAAAGTTAATACTTTCTTGTATGCACACACACACATACACAAAATCCCATGCAAACACACAAATACACGTACACACCTACACACAAGCTCATGCATACACAAACACACAAGAACATGCACACACACACACACACACACACACACACACACACACTACAAAGGCTACAAAAGCTAGTCTATTCCACCTGAGAAAATATCAGATATGAGATCATTTTAGACTTTGTAGAGCAAGAGTGAGATTGACGCGCACATCCAATTCAAACCAGCGTGCAACAGAGCCGAAAATTGATAAATGACAGAAATGGAGATGACTCTGCACAGCTTTTGCTCCCAAGAGATTTTAATTCTCACCACAAACTGTGACGTTTCAGGTCACTACCCTTCATCCGACAAAAGATCAAAATATCATTTTAGACTTTACCTACGGGACAACAGTAGAACCAGAGAAGAACAAAGCACATCACTTTCGCCAGCATTTGGGCTGCCATCTTGGAGACCGATGGCACATACTGGTTGCCTCGTTTCTGTCAGTATGCCCCAGGGCAGCTGCGGCTACAGTAGCAGTTTCTCTCCTCTGTGAAAGGAGTGAGAAAATAATGCCACTTGAAGCATCATGAGTAAGACAAACAACAGAACTGAAGTCTGCACCCTCCGTGGCCGCAGCGTTCTGACCCTGGGCAGCTGCGGCCGCTCTGGACAGAGGTTCCCACCTCCAGCGGCTGTGAGCCGCTATCAACAAAACGGCGAATGGCGCCATGGTAACGTGATCCATGACCGTACACACAGAACTATTCTCTGCATGTTGTGTGAGTGTCTTTGCGTAACCTGTTCACGCAGATACACCGCTGAAGCTGAACTATGGAGCCTCAGGAACTGTCCGTGTCTCCTCCTGAAACGCAACTAAACTCACTAAATTAAAGCTGGGGTACGTAAATGTTCCCGTTCATTAACAGCTCATGTTGGTTGTGCCCAAAAGTAAAAGGCAAATCAAACAGACTGAAGTACATTTGGTATGAATGACAATGTGTCGTTACATTTGATAATCTCATTTAACTTCAAATGGAGTGGATTTGAAATAGAATATTAGAAATGTGATTAATCGTTAGTTAACTCACCATTACTACACGATTAATCAACTAAAACATTTTAATCGTTTGACAGCCCTACAAAGCACACTTTTTATTGTTTTATTTTTAACAATCAACAACTTTGTAAAGTCCTCCGTGACAACTGCTGTGCTGCAGTGGTTTAGTGCTCTTCATAAATAAATGGAATTGAAGGATTGAGGCGTCTGCAGACACTTCCCAGCCTCTCAGCCTTGACTTCCCAGCCCTCTGCGTGTTTCTCTCCTCAGTCCAATTGTGCGTTAAATACCTCCACACTTCCTCTCTCCGTCTGAGCAGTAATAAAGCTGCTGACCTTGGATCCAGCGTGGCTCCTATCTGTTATCTTCTCTCGCCGTCCTTCGCTCACTCTATAAAACCTGCAGCAGGCCGTTCTGAAGACGTCCATCACCACCAGTCGCCATGCTGCCGGCCGTGGTCAAGCTCTGCTGTGGGATCTCCTACCCCCACCTGAGGACCGCCACAGGTACCAGGCACTTCACCCAGAGCCGTGTCGCTCATCTGTGTCCATAGGGTCTCTGGTTCTCTCTCTCTGGTCTTCTCTCTCCTTGGTCTCTGGTCTGGTCTTCTCTCTCCTTGGACTCTGGTTCTCTCTCTCTCTCGTCTTTGGTCCTCTCTCTCTGGTCTCTGGTCCTCTCTCCTCTGGTCTCTGGTCCTCTCTCTGGTCCTCTCTCTGGTCCTCTCTCTAGTCCTCTCTCTCTGGTCTCTGGTCCTCTCTCAGGTCCTCTGTCTCTGGTCTTCTCTCTCTCTGGTCCTTTCTCTAGTTGTGTGTCTCTGGTCTCTGGTCCTCTCTCTTTCTGGTCCTCTCTCTAGTCCTCTGTCTCTGGTCCTCTCTCTCTGGTCCTCTCTCGTCTCTGGTTGTCTCTCTGTTCTCTGGTCCTCTCTGGTCTCTGTTCTCTGGTCCTCTCTGGTCTCTGGTCCTCTCTGGTCTCTGATCCTCTCTGGTCTCTGGTCCTCTCTGGTCTCTGGTCCTCTCTGGTCTCTGGTCCCTGGTCCTCTCTGGTCTCTGGTCCTCTCTGGTCTCTGATACATTGAGTATGTACAGTATGTTGGAGTGTTTTTCGTGCTCTATGACGGCTGCAGATGGACTGTATGGATTAACCTCCAAACATTGATGATATGAAGTTCATATCACTCAAAAAAATGATTTTTGGGTGTAGTAATATATACTAACTCAAAAGTAGTAGTTTCTACCTATAATATCAACTTTCAGCAAAAACTAGTTAAAAACATAAATATTTACACAGTATATTCAGGTAATTAATTAATTGAGTGGAAAGAGTACATCTTACTAGAGATTTGCTCGTACCATTTACATGATTTATTGTCATAGCACCAAAACCTGAAAAAATCAAGTAACTTTTAACTATTGGGTGAAGTAGTGACGCTACCCAGAATGCAATGCAGAGAAAAACATAAACTTCTGAAAAAATCTACATTTGAGCATTAATTTTGAGGGTGAATACAAAGCAAGTCTTAAAACAAAATACGTGAGCAACATTTTGAACAAACAAATTTGACCAAATGAAAAAATTTAAATATATTTTTACCAACCATGATCGACATGGCCAAGTCAAAGTATCGCTTTACTTCCTGGGTTTGTCACTAGATCAAATGTGTATCGTATGTGTGCCACAGAGTCTGTACACTGTACCAAATGTCGTTGAGCTCTATTTGAATAATAAATATTATGACATCCATGATACAATTAAAGTGGAACAACCCAAAAAGCATGTAGATAATAATAATAATTTAAACAGAAAAATTAAGTAATATCTACTTATTCACTTCATAACAGAAAATGATAAAAACAAGTAAGATTTACCTAATATTTTAATATCTGATATTCCTGTATGAAAATAATTGCATAACATTTACATAATATCCTCACAAAGTTTAAGGTTAGTAGTAAGTACATTGTACTTGATACTGGCAAGTAAGTTATACTTGATATTACAGCATTAAAATTACTTAGATTATTTTGAGTGCAAATACTTACAATGATTTTATTAAGTAAATTCTACAAGTCATTTCTTTGAGTGTATGTTTTACATCATTTAAAGCTGATTTGAAGTAAACAACCACATTCATTCATTCATTGTAAGAGTGAATTCAGAACTCAGAACTATAATTTGATTGATTTAGTTGTTTGTCTTTAAAGCTTGAAAGATCTGTCCCCACACTCAGCATCAGGCCTCGGGCCTCAGCACAGCCCTGTCCCTGCGGGTTTTAATTAAGACCAGACTTCAAATCCAGGGCGCTAGGGCCTTCTGAGGTTTTCAATTCATATCAGTCTATTTTGTGTATCGCCCTAAATCACAGCAGCAGTTTGATCTGGAATAATTCGAGACAAAGATTGTATTAGACCACATTGTCAAGATTGCATGTATAAACACCTGCAGACTGAGGATTAAACCCGGCAGGAAAACGGCATGACGTCTGCTTGGAGACGTTTAATAGAACTTATGAGCTTGCGAACCCCGAGTCCTAGACCTGGAGGAGAAGGAACCTTATACCCCACTGAGGAGGCGGTGATGGGGAGGAGGAGGGTTGCTGCTCGAAGCTACAGAGAAGTGAGAGGCTCTGTTCAAATGCAGCCATGATGTGAAGATGACACAGGTGTGTTTCTGAGCAGCTGGGGCTGAGCTCAGGAGCAAGAGTCAGAGCAGAGGGGGAGGGGGGCGGGGGTCACAGTAGAGGGAGGGGTCAGTGCAGAGGGGGGCGGGGGTCACAGTAGAGGGAGGGGTCAGTGCAGAGGGAGGGGGATTCGAGGGGGAGGAGCCAGTGTGACAGGCATCTCTTTTGGTCCAGAATTGAATTTGTCTCCGAGCACTTTACAAAGTTGTAGATACATCAACAACAGATCAGAGAACCAAACAGTTGAAACACAGGAAAAGCAGAAATAGGTGAATGAATGGGAGCATGTGAGAGTCGTCTGTTCAGAGAATTATATTGTCTTGTCTGTAAAAAAGTTCTGTGTTCTGAATGTTCAAGGATAAGGTTTTTGCTCCATCCTCCTCAGTGTTTTCTTCAGTTCATCTACAGACCATTATAAATGTCACCTTTGAGACCTTTTTCTTTGCCTTTGCCTTTGAATAACATGAGGAGCATGAATCACAATAATTCACAGATACAAATCATAATTGTTTCTGTATCGCAATATGTTAAGAATCACAATAATCTATGGAACCCTCACATTTCTTCCACCTCCAGCTCGAGCACACGGAGCAAAGTGTGATCGACTCCTCCTTCCACAGCAGCTGCTCCTCGCTCCTCGTGAGTGCTCCTACAGGAGGTTTGCAAATTGTGTGTTATTGCTCTCAGGGCTCCAGCGCACGGCGGCGGCGGTGATCGGCCTGGAGATGTCACACTTCCACAGATGGGGTCAAGTCCAGCGTCACAGCAGCCCTCACGCTGCGCTCTCTGATGGTATGGACTCAGTGTGTGTGTGTGTGTGTGTGTGTGTGTGTGCGTGTGTGTGTGTGTGTGTGTGAGACTGGGAGAGTGCGTCACTGCTTCTACCTGAGGTTCTGTGTCGAAAAGCTACAGTACAGAAGTTATCTCAGATTCATCCTTTGCCGTTTTCAGTAAAACCACATTGGGACACATGTGCTCAGATAAGAACATAAAGAAAGCAAGATTAAAAAATACAATAAACAATCGTCACTGTGAAATCGATCAACACAAAACAGCTTCAAAACAAGAGCTTGGCTTTCTGAATATTTATCATATTTTGTTTATTATTCATGTTTATTTTAGATTTTAAGCTTTATAGCAGCGAGTCCTGTTAAAGTTAAATATTGTGAAAAACCAGCCCACTTCCAAAGTATTTGAGTTTCGCCCTAAATCACCACAGCAGTCGTCTGGGAGGACTTTACAAATGTGTCGATTCACCAACAGCAGATTGAAGAATCAAACAAGAAATGCAATAATAACAAACCCATAGGAACCTCTTCCAAACAGAGCGGGTTGATGATAATAATGTTGATAAATGTCCATAAAGAGTTCTACATTTGAGTAATTATCAAATGCTAGTTACCATAGCAACACACTGTTTACGGTTAGAAGTTAGCATTAGCCTTTTTCTCGCTGTATTACAGTTGCAGTTATAATCATCAGTTTTAGAACGTTTTAACAGCAAGCAAAGTAAAAAGTGCTATATATAATTATTTTTTTATTTTTTTAAATCAATCTGGTGATAAACAAAACATTTTTTGGGGGGAAATTTCACATTATTTCTGTTGGTTTGAATAAGACACAAACAGCTTCTGAGTTAGAGGAGTTTAGTGTGAAGTCAGCGGGAGCCAGAGAGAGTTGGAGCAAAAAGCCGCGGGTCAGCGATGTCAAGCTAAACACAGTCTCTCCATGTAACAACCGTTATTTACTAAAACATCCTTTACTTTAGAGCTCTGTCTCTCGGCGGCAGCTTTAACATTCAGAACATTCTCTGACTAACCTCTGGAGCTTCACAAACTGAGTCCACAAACTTTGGATTTATGAATATTTAGACTTTTTGACCCGTGATAATCAAGTTCAAATCCTTTTACATAACCTGCTGATGAAAATATACTTTTTGCTCGGTGAAAAGGAGCGTTCTGTTTAATTTGTGTGACATCAAACAGAAGTCTGATGTTTGCTAACTCTAGAGCTTATCTGGCTGCTTCACAAAACAAGAAATAACAAACACACTTTTTGATCTTATGTGTTTGATTTAGAACCAGTTTTTCACATTTCTTGTTTTGAATTTGTTTTTTATGGACCAACAACACACACACACACACTTCCACACATACAGTACACACACACAAGCATTTATTTTACACACACACACATATACAGTCACAAACACACACACAAACACGTAGAGTACACGTGCACAGTCACACACACTCTCGCACACACACACACACACACACACACTCTCTCTCTCATACACACACTCTCTCTCTCTGACACACACACTCTCTCAGACACACACACACTCTCTCTCTCTGACACACACACTCTCTCAGACACACACACACTCTCTCTCTCTGACACACACACACACTCTCGCTCTGACACACACACACAAACATCCACACACACACACACACACACCCACTCTCTCTCTGATACACACACTCTCTCAGACACACACTCTGACACACACACTCTCGCTCTGACACACACACACTCTCTCTCTCTCTGACACACACGCACACATACTCTCTCTCTGACACATACAAACACACTCTATCTCTGACACACACGCACACACACTCTCTCCCACACACAGGCACACACACTCTCGCTCTGACACACACACACACACACACACATACACACTCTCACTCTGACAAACACACACACATACTATCTCTCTCTGACACACATACACACACACACTATCTCTCTCTGACACACATACACACACACTCTCTCTCACACACGGGCACACACACTCTCGCTCTGACACACACACACACACACACACACACAATCTCTCTCTGACACACACGCACACACACTCTCTCTCACACACAGGCACACACACTCTCGCTCTGACACACACACACACACACTCTCTCTCTGACACACACTCTCTCAGACACACACACACTCTCACTCTGACACACACACACACACTCTCTCAGACACACACACACTCTCTCTCTGACACACACGCACACACACTCTTTCTCACACACAGGCACACACACTCTCGCTCTGACACACACACACACACACACACATACTTTGCATGCAGACGCTGCTCTCTCCTCAGTTGTAGATCAACATTCAGATATATAAAGTGTGTATTTAATTATGTTTAATCGTCGCTAATGTTGTGTCTGAGTGTATTTAGATCATGGCTGTTAAAAATCTCTTATCTGGCTCTGATTTTCTCACAAGGTTAATATTGTGGCTGCAGCTTTATCTTGTCTTGACTTTTTATCTGTTTTTGATCCAAGCGTGTGAGGGACAAAACCGTGTCAAGGAGATTTATCCAGAGAAACAATCTCCAACCGAGCAGAATCTAACACACTCACGATAAAACGTTTCCAAAACCGATTATGTTTTAAGATTAAAAAACGGAAATCAAGTTGTTCTTTAGTTAGACCCAGAACTGAGGCTGTAGACCCAGGACTGAGGCTGTAGACCCAGGACTGAGGCTGTAGACCCAGGACTGAGACTGTAGAACCAGGACTGAGGCTGTAGATCCAGGACTGAGGCGGTAGATCCAGGACTGAGGCTGTAGATCCAGGACTGAGACTGTAGATCCAGGACTGAGGCTGTAGACCCAGGACTGAGACTGTAGATCCAGGACTGAGGCTGTAGACCCAGGACTGAGGCTGTAGACCCAGGACTGAGGTTGTAGATCCAGGACTGAGACTGTAGAACCAGGACTGAGGCTGTAGATCCAGGACTGAGACTGTAGATCCAGGACTGAGGCTGTAGACCCAGGACTGAGACTGTAGATCCAGGACTGAGGCTGTAGACCCAGGACTGAGGCTGTAGACCCAGGACTGAGGTTGTAGATCCAGGACTGAGACTGTAGAACCAGGACTGAGGCTGTAGATCCAGGACTGAGGCGGTAGATCCAGGACTGAGGCTGTAGACCCAGGACTGAGGCTGTAGACCCAGGACTGAGGCTGTAGACCCAGGACTGAGGTTGTAGATCCAGGACTGAGACTGTAGAACCAGGAGTGAGGCTGTAGATCCAGGACTGAGGCGGTAGATCCAGGACTGAGGCTGTAGACCCAGGACTGAGGCTGTAGACCCAGGACTGAGGCTGTAGACCCAGGACTGAGGCTGTAGAACCAGGACTGAGGCTGTAGATCCAGGACTGAGACGGTCGATTCAGGACTGAGGCTGTGGACCCAGGACTGAGGCTGTAGACCCAGGACTGAGGCTGTAGACCCAGGACTGAGGCTGTGGACCCAGGACTGAGGCGGTAGACCCAGGACTGAGGCTGTGGACCCAGGACTGAGGCTGTGGACCCAGGACTGAGGCTGTAGATCCAGGACTGAGGCGGTAGATCCAGGACTGAGGCTGTAGATCCAGGACTGAGGCTGTGGACCCTGGACTGAGACTGTGGACCCAGGACTGAGACTGTGGACCCAGGACTGAGACTGTCGACCCAGGACTGAGGCTGTAGATCCAGGACTGAGGCGGTAGATCCAGGACTGAGGCTGTGGATCCAGGGCTGAGGCTGTAGACCCAGGACTGAGGCTGTAGACCCAGGACTGAGGCTGTGGACCCAGGACTGAGGCGGTAGACCCAGGACTGAGGCTGTAGACCCAGGACTGAGGCTGTGGACCCAGGACTGAGGCGGTAGACCCAGGACTGAGGCTGTGGACCCAGGACTGAGGCTGTGGACCCAGGACTGAGGCTGTAGATCCAGGACTGAGGCGGTAGATCCAGGACTGAGGCTGTAGATCCAGGACTGAGGCTGTGGACCCTGGACTGAGACTGTGGACCCAGGACTGAGACTGTGGACCCAGGACTGAGACTGTCGACCCAGGACTGAGGCTGTAGATCCAGGACTGAGGCGGTAGATCCAGGACTGAGGCCCTCCTAAAAAAGAGGAGTCTGGATGCCTTGGCACTTAAAAATTATCGGCCCATTTCAAATCTGCCTTTCATGGGTAAAATTCTAGAAAAAGTTGTCTATCAACAACTTACAGAATTTTTAATAATCAATCACTCTTTTGATATGTTCCAGTCTGGTTTTAGACCCCACCACAGCACAGAGACCGCTCTAGTGAAGGTAACAAATGACATCAGACTTAACACTGACGCAGGAAAAGTCTCAGTTCTTATCCTGCTAGATTTAAGTGCTGCTTTCGACACTGTCGATCATGGTATCCTCATTCAGAGACTTGAGGACTGGGTTGGTGTTTCTGGAACAGCCCTAAGCTGGTTTATATCCTACCTACAGGACAGAAAGTATTTTGTGGAGATCGGAAACTGTATCTCAGACCATCTGGCCCTAACCTGCGGAGTGCCACAGGGATCAATCCTGGGGCCTCTCCTGTTTAATATTTACATGCTGCCTCTGGGTAGGTTAATACACAGTAATAACGTGTCCCATCACAATTATGCTGACGATACTCAGGTCTATGTGTCCCTGACAGCAGGAGAACATGGACCAATGGACTCGCTCCTTCACTGTATCCAACAAATCAGTGATTGGATGCAAAATAACTTTCTCCAGCTAAACACAGAAAAAACTGAAATTATTGTTTTCGGACCTCAAAAACAAAGAGAGAGCGTTATCTGCCACCTCCAGTCTCTCTCCCTAAAACCCTCAACTCAGGTCAGAAATCTAGGAGTAATAATGGACTCAGACTTAAATTTCAATAGCCACATATCATCTGTGACATCATCAGCTTACTTCCACCTAAGAAACATTGCTAAAATTAGGAACATTGTGTCTAAAGCAGACTTGGAGATTCTTATCCACGCATTTGTCTCCAGTCGATTGGACTACTGCAATGGCTTGTTCACAGGTCTCTCTAAACAAGCGGTAAAACAGCTGCAGTACATCCAAAATGCTGCAGCTCGAGTCCTGACTAGAACCAGGAAGTACGACCACATTAGTCCGGTCCTCAGGTCTCTGCACTGGCTTCCTGTGGCTCAGAGAATAGATTTTAAAGTAGCTTTACTTGTGTACAAGTCTCTCCATCTGTAGACCCAGGTTTACTAGAGAGACAAAAGTAGCAGGCTAATCTTTTTAAAACAATATCATTTTGCTCAATCCTAAAGTCAGTCACAATGGACTCCATTTAAAATACATTTTGGCAAATTTTAGCTATTTTTTTCTCATTGTGTAAACTGTTTAAAATCCTTCTTTGTTTTTCCAGAGCCTAAATCTACAATCGTGGTGCCGTGTCGAGAGGAGCATTATCAGACGCAGGGACGAGTGGCGATGGAGGCGGCTCTGGGGATGCTGCAGGAGGAGGGAGGCTGGAAGCTGGAGGTCACAGAGGTACAATAATATCCGTGGTCACTAAAGCTGAGGTCCCTGACTTTGGTTCATACGGAACACATCAGGAACATGTCCAAACAGAAAGAGTCTGGTAAAAGTAACAGCAGTGGACTAAGCAGACCACGACAGATTTTATTTTACTTCATTCACTGCTCTGAAACACATTTGATTTCCCGTCAGAGCTCTGAAGCTAAGCAGGATAGGGCCTGGTTAGTACTGTGATGGGAGACCTCTGGGAACTCCATACTATTATTGTGTCTGTCTATCTCTTCATCCATTTGTATTTATGATATGCTTGTTTCTGTCCTGTAGAGCAGTGGAGACATCATCTGCAGCAAGGTCCTGCGCGGGAAGAAGGTGTTCCGGCTGCAAGCGGTGTTGGAGGCCTCTGTGGACGACCTGTACGACGTGCTGTTTGTACGAGTGGAGCAGATGCACCAGTGGAACCCCAGCATCCAGCGAATCAGAGTGAGTTTTACTGCAACGTCTACCAGTGCAGGCGATGAATCCAGGTTCATCCGTACTATGAACACAGATTGTATACAGGGGCGACAGTGGCTCAGTTGGTAGAGCTTTGGCCTTTGCGCCTGAAGGTCCTGGGTTCGACCTGCTTCACAACTCCCACTGATGACTGCTGTTGTTGTGTCCTTGGGCAAGACACTTAACCCCACTTTTCCTGTAGCCCCGCTGGCTGAAAAAGTTTTACAGGTTTATGTGACCAGCCTGCGCTATGTAAATAAATATTACTTACTCAAAGGTTGGGGAGCACTTCTCTAGATACAGACGAGTGGCATAAGGAATGATAATAGCAGGTAAAGTGACTAGTGTTTTTTTGGTTTCCTGTTAATAGCGTAGACCGTAAATATTAACAAACGTAAATTGAAACTAATGTGCCATCACTTTTGCCGTCTATGGGCAGCATCAAAATGGCCGAGAGGGCTGGAAAATGTGAAAAAACACATCTGCGCATGCGTCAGCCGACACGAGCCACGTTCCTTGAACGGCTGCCTTCAAAATGTCTCAGCGGCTGTACGTGGCAGGTCCAAAAAAATTCACTCCCCTCAGCATTGACACACATGTGGAACATAGCTTTGAGCCAAGAGCCAACTTTTGGACCATCCTGTAAACCCATTTTCTAGAGGTGAGAAGATGCTATACATTAGCATTGAATAATTCTTTTTCCAGGTCCAACCCCATCGGCCCGGGGTGGTATTTCAAGCATGTCAGCGCACGTCATTTTGGACATTTTTAAGCTGGGACCCTCCCCCACTGTTTAGTAGTAGCAGCAGTAGCAGGCGCAGCAGTAAAAGTAGTAGCAGTAGCAGCAGTAGCAGTAGTAGCATATGCAGCAGCAGCACCAGTAGCAGCAGCACCAGTAGCAGCAGTAGCAGTAGTAGTAGTATATGTGTGCACATCGACATCACATTAACCACAGTTCATTCTGACTCACTGCTTGGAGCAGGTGGAGGCTAACGTGGAGGCTAACGTGGAGGTTGCAGGACTAAGTGCCAGCCGTGTCGCTCTGATAAATCCATTTAATGTGAAGACCTGTGAGAGAAAATGTCAATACATTTTTCTGCCCTTTATCAACCTTTATATCTATATTAGTTGGTTTTACAGTATATTTACTCCGGTCTCAGGGTCACTGTCTGGAAAAGGCCACTCAACGTCTGAAACACGCTAACAGCTTGAATTTGGACATTAGACTAGATCTTTGTAAATGTCTTTTTTGTTTTGAAAGTGTAAATACTTGGCCTATGCACCTACTTCCGTCAGTTATTTCTGAAAAGTGACAAGTTCTATGTTATACCCACGAAGATTCAAACAGAGCCATTTTTGCTGCTTTATGGCAGTTCATTTGTTATGGTGTTGGCCCTGGACTGGTCTTGGACTGGTCTTGGACTGGTTCTGGTCTGGTCCTGGTCTGGTCCTGATAGTCTCTGCTGTAAAAACAAATATAAGCCGGACCACAGGGACATTGCAAAAGATTCACAAAATGTATCGTACAGTCACACTTCCCTGAGCATGAGCCCTCACTCATTATCAGCAGTTTTTTGCATTGATGTGGATTGAACAAGAGAAAAAGTTTGTGATGACAAGGGACACTAAAATCCCCACAGAATCCTCTTTTATGAAAGCTGTAGGTTCTCTGTCAGCTGAGGTCGAGCTGTTTTAGTTTACATTGAGTTCTATGGGACTTTTTTGGGGTAACGTTAAACTTAGTCTGCAGTAAACAGAGCATATGGTACTTCACCTATAAGATAGTAATACCATCCATCCATTTTCTTCCCCTTAATCAATTTCCTGGTCGGGGGGTTGGCAGTCAGAGCTGAAAGTTAGAGCTGCCAGAGTCCAGTTCACTGAGCACCAGCTCCTCACTGATCCTCGTGCAGGTGGTGAGTCCACAGGAGGATGGCTTCTATCAGTCATGACAAAGCTTTGGTCGTTCAGTGGGGGCCTCAGGCAAAGTGGGGTTAAGTGTCTTGCCCAAGGACAGAACGACAGCAGACATTAGTGGGAGTTGGTAGAGAAGCCCACGACTTTCAGGCTCAAAGGCCAAGGCTCTACCAACTGAGCCACTGTTGCTAGTAATACCCCATCCAGATATTATTATAGATCCATGGTTAGGGTACACTAATTAGCACTTAATTAGCTGATAATTAGGGAGGGCTAATCTACAGTGGGGAGAACAAGTATTTGATACACTGCTGATTTTTCAGATTTTCCCACTTGCAAAGCATGTAGAACTCTGTAATTTCTATCATAGGTACTCTTCAACTGTGAGTGATGGAATGTAAAACAAAAATCCAGAAAATCACAATAGATGATTTTTGAATAATTAATTTCCATTTTATTGCATGAAATAAGTATTTGATACATCAGAAAAACAGAACTTAATATTTGGTGCTGAAACCTTTGTTTGCATTTACAGAGATCAGACGTTTCCTGTAGTTTTTGACCAGGTTTGCACACACTGCAGTAGGGATTTTGGCCCACTCCTCCAAACAGATCTCCTCTAGAGCCTTCAGGTTTCGAGGCTGTCGCTGGGCCACACAGACTTTAAGCTCCCTCCAAAGATTTTCAATTGGATTCAGGTCTGGAGACTGGCTAGGCCACTCCAGGACCTTGAGATGTTTCTTACGGAGCCACTCCTTGGTTGCCCTGGCTGTGTGTTTTGGGTCGTTGTCATGCTGAAAGACCCAGCCACGACCCATCGTCAGTGCTCTTACTGAGGGGAGGAGGTTGTTGGCCAAGATCTCACGATACATGGCCCCATCCATCCTTCCCTCAACACGGTGCAGTCGCCCTGTCCCCTTTGCAGAAAAGCATCCCCAAAGAATAATGTTTCCACCGCCATGCTTCACGGTTGGGATGGTGTTCTTGGGGTTGTACTCATCATTCTTCTTCCTCCAAACACGACGAGTGGAGTTTAAACCAAAAAGTTCTATTTTTGTCTCATCAGACCACATGACCTTCTCCCATTCCTCCTCTGGATCATCCAGATAGTCATTTGCAAATTTCAGACGGGCCTAGACATGCTTTGGCTTGAGCAAGGGCACCTTGCGTGCACTGCAGGATTTAATCCTTGACGGCGTAGTGCGTTACTGATGGTTTTCTTCGAGACTGTGGTCCCAGCTCTATTCAGGTCATTGACCAGGTCCTGCCGTGTAGTCCTGGGCTCATTTCTCACCTTTCTCATGATCATTGATGCCCCACGAGGTGAGATCTTGCATGGCGCCCCAGACCGAGGGAGATTGACCGTTGTCTTAAATTTCTTCCATTTTCTAATAATTGCACCAACAGTTGTTCCCTTCTCACCAAGCTGCTTGCCTATTGTCCTGTAGCCCATTCCAGCATTGTGCAGGTCTACAAATGTATCTCTGACCTCCTTACACAGCTCTCTGGTCTTGGCCATAGTGGATTTTGGAGTCTGACTTATTGAGAGTGTGGACATGTGTCTTTTATACAGATAACAAGTTCAAACAGGTGCCATTAATACAGGTAATGAGTGGAGAACAGGGAGGCTTCTTAAAGAAGAAGTAGCAGGTCTGTGAGAGCCAAACTTCTTACTGGTTGGTAGATGATCAAATACTTATTTCATGCAATAAAATACAAATTAATTATTTACAAATCACCTACTGTGATTTTCTGGATTTTTGTTTTATATTCCATCACTCACAGTTGAAGAGTACCTATGATAGAAATTACAGACTTCTTCTTGCTTTGCAAGTGGATAAACCTGAAAAATCAGCAGTGTATCAAATACTTGTTCTCCCCACTGTAAATTGGTCCGTAATAAACATATTGAGTCAACTTTGGAGCTGTCTCCCTGAAAATGTGAGACAATCTTCTCCTCTGACAAAAGAGTTCTGTTCATCTGTGCGTGCGACTGAAGTATCTGTTCTTATTCTTTTAAAACATAAATTATGTGTTTTTTAGGTTCTCCAGAGACTCGGCCCAGAGACCGTGATCACACATGAGGTTTCTGCGGCGACAACAGGGAACCTGATTGGCCAGAGGGACTTCCTGAGCGTGCGCCACAGCTGTAAACATCGCTCTAAAGTTTTTCTGGGAGGAACCGCCATCCAGCTGGAGGCCCTGCCCCCTCAGAGCGGCTTCGTCAGGTCGGCAGCGTCTTAATATCTCACTGTTTAACTATATACAGAGCCAGGGGGGATTTTCAGGGATCAATCCAGTCTATTATCAGTAACTTCAAGCACAAATCGGCACAAGAACGTTTTTTGTATGATTGGTTTTACGTCTAAATTAGTTTGGGGAATTTGCCACTTCCACTCGATGACCATAATCTCGTTGTAGGTCTTGTTTAGACGCTGTTTAAATCCATGTTCTAAACCTGACTGTTGTCCTGCAGAGCGGAGGATGGACCCACCTGCATCATCATCGAACCCGTGGGAGACTTTCCCAACAAGAGCAAGTTCACGTGGCTCTTAAACATGGACGTCAAGGTTTGTTTCAGTTTCTCTCTCTCACTCCTCATGCAGTCTCATCCTCCTCATGCAGTCTCACCCTCCTCATGCAGTCTCACCCTCCTCATGCAGTCTCACCCTCCTCATGCAGTCTCACCCTCCTCATGCAGTCTCATCCTCCTCATGCAGTCTCATCCTCCTCATGCAGTCTCATCCTCCTCATGCAGTCTCACCCTCCTCATGCAGTCTCACCCTCCTCATGCAGTCTCACCCTCCTCATGCAGTCTCACCCTCCTCATGCAGTCTCACCCTCCTCATGCAGTCTCATCCCCCTCATGCAGTCTCACCCTCCTCATGCAGTCTCACCCTCCTCATGCAGTCTCACCCTCCTCATGCAGTCTCACCCTCCTCATGCAGTCTCATCCTCCTCATGCAGTCTCACCCTCCTCATGCAGTCTCACCCTCCTCATGCAGTCTCATCCCCCTCATGCAGTCTCACCCTCCTCATGCAGTCTCACCCTCCTCATGCAGTCTCACCCTCCTCATGCAGTCTCACCCTCCTCATGCAGTCTCACAGACCTCCTTTTGTCAGGGCCTCTCAGTGTAAAACCCACTAATAAGAGAATGCAGTTTTGAAATACACAAATACATAGAAAAAAATCTGAATATAAAAGTAGACACGAGACTAGACCAGTGAAATAAAACCACAAAAGAGGTGGATTTGTGAGTTACAGACGCTCTCGTCTTCAACATGGCGACTAATTAAGAGTAAACAGAACATGCGTCTGCTGTAGAGTGATAAATAATTAACACTCATGTCTCATTATTATTCAAAGCATCTTTGAGTGTCCAAAAAAGCGTTGTATAAGTTTGATGTATTATTATTATGATGGAGCCTAAGGGAACGACAGACAAAATGAACGCTTCAAACACTCATAAGTCACACTTTTGAGTGTTTACAGTGTGACAAGGGAAAACCACAGAAGGGAACGTTCTTTTTTCTTCACTAGGCTAAAGTTGGAGATTTTAGACGTCTTTCCTTGTTATGCTAAAGATAAAGATTTTATACTGCTTATTTTTTTGCTTAGTATAGAGTTATTGTTCACTAATCTTGTGCTGTGTGCTCCTCATTCCAACCGATTTTCCATAGGAGGTCCCCTTTAAAACTGTTGATTTGAATACGTTTTGTTTTGTTGTGTAGCACCTAGCATAGCTCTCTGTATGAAATGTGCAAAACAAATTGCCTTACAAAATATCTTTAATTTTTGCCAAAATCCATTTACCAAAAGCCTTGGCCCAACCAGAAAGATGCATTATGTTAAAATTGGAATACAATTGAAGTACTGTAGCTGCCATCATCATCTTCAAGGCCTTGTATTTTGTGAATAATGATGAGAGTTTCTTGTGTGTTCCAGGGCTGGCTGCCCACGTCTCTGGTGAACCAGGCCATACCACGGGCTCAGCTGGACTTTACCAAACACCTGCGCATACACCTGCAGACGCAGAGACCGCCCGTCTGAACCACGGGACAAAAGCACAAGGACTGGAGCTGATGTAAAAAATTCTCCTGTTTTCTCTCCAAACTCCAGACCAAACAAGGACATGGAGGACTCTCAAGGGGACCAGAGGGAACCAGAGAGGACAAGAGAGGACCAGAGAGGACCAGAGAGGACCAGAACACCAGAGGGGGCCACAGCTGGACTCTGTAGAACAGAATTAAATGTGTTTCTTGGACTCTCAGTAAAAAAAGATACAAAAACAGACAGAATGAACTTTCATAACATCAAAATAATCTTAATGAGTTTTGAATGTTGCTGAAAAACTTGGAACCAAATCAGGGACAGGCTCTTTCGTTTGGTTTATCATGACTTAAAGGAAATAAAAGAAGAAACTGCTGATGTTTGCGATTCCATGAGTTGGTTTAAGAATCCAATTTTCTACTGACTGTGTAATCAGACAGCTGCCTCTGCGACCCGGCAACGGACAAAGCGGAAGAAGATCGACGGCTAGATGGAAATGACGCTCTTTACAATCACTAACATTTTCCAACTGGAAGAAAAACAAAACCTGTTCTTCTTCTGCTCTCTCTGGTGGCAGCAAAGAGAGCACCCTTCATTGTTCATATTTTCTATTGAAGATGTTATTTTATTTCATAAAACAAGAAATGACAAAAAATAATACAGTCATTTGAATCAACTAATACCTGGTGATTTAAAACACTATTTAAATCCGTCTATAAACTTTTAAGTTTTGGGACAATGTGCAGTTGTATTCAAAGTATGGCTGCACCAGATTTAGCACCAGATTTATCAGCGTGCTACTTTCCACCTGTAGTCCTTGACAATACAATCAGAAAACTCGCAAGTTAAAATACAGTCCAATATGGTGCAATACTGAGTTACAGTTTGCATTGATACAGTAAATGTAGTGTGAGACCATTTTCAAACAAAAAAAGAATCAACTTCAATCAGAGGCGTTCACGGTTTTCTTGAATTTTGAATGTTGAGAGAGAGACCAGAGAGAGGGACGAGAGAGAGACCAGAGGGAGGACAGAGAGAGACCGGGGAGAGACCAGAGAGAGACCAGAGAGAGGACAGACAGAGACCATAGAGAGGACAAGAGAGAGACCATAGAGAGGGAAAAGAGAGAGACCAGAGAGAGACCAAAGGGAGGACAGAGAGAGATAAGAGATAGACCAGAGAGACACAAGAGAGAGACCAGAGCGAGACCAGGGAGAGACCAGAGAGACCAGAGAGAGACCAGAGATAGACCAGAGATAGACCAGAGAGAGACAAGAGATAGACAAGACAGAGAACAGAGAGAGACCAGAGAGAGGACAGAGAGAGACCAGAGAGAGATCAGAGATAGACCAGAGATAGACCAGAGATAGACCAGAGAGAGACAAGAGATAGACAAGACAGAGAACAGAGAGAGACCAGAGAGAGGACAGAGCGAGACCAGAGAGAGACCAGAGAGAGACAAGAGATAGACCAGAGATAGACCAGAGAGACACAAGAGAGAGACCAGAGAGAGACCAGGGAGAGACCAGAGAGACCAGAGAGAGATCAGAGAGAGACCAGAGAGAGACCAGAGATAGACCAGAGATAGACCAGAGAGAGACCAGAGAGAGACCAGAGAGAGACAAGAGATAGACAAGACAGAGAGCAGAGAGAGACCAGAGAGAGGACAGAGAGAGACCCGAGAGAGACCAGAGAGAGACCAGAGAGAGACCAGGGAGAAACCAGAGAGAGACCAGAGAGAGGACAGAGAGAGACCAGAGAGAGACCAGAGAGAGATCAGAGAGAGACAAGAGATAGACAAGAGATAGACAAGACAGAGACCAGAGAGAGACCCGCGAGAGACCAGAGAGAGACTAGAGAGAGAGACCTATAGTTTATGATTCTCTTTGAGCCGAGCCGAAGCAGACTGGATTTGGAGCTAAAATTGCTGAAATGTTTTATGATTATGTTACGATGAGGAGAGTCTCCAGAATTTGGATGAATCTAAGAAAGACCTTCTCCTTCTCTCTGGACCAGCGCCGGCTTTGCTACATGAAGAATAGGGATGTGTGTCTGAATGTACAACTTTTATATAATAAATCTAACTCTAAAATAAAAAATACAATAACATATGATTGTGTCTGATTTCTTGGTAATTTATTTTCACTTTAGGGATTTCCGATATGTTGTCCTGTTGGCTCCAACGAACCAGGACCTGCAACATGCACTGAGACGGTTTGCAGCCGAGTGTGAAGCGGCTGGGATGAGAATAAGCACCTCCAAATCCGAGGCCAAGGTGCTCGACCGGAAAAAGGTGTCTTGCCCTCTCCAGTCGGGTGGAGTGATCCTTCCTCAAGTGGAGGAGTTCAAGTATCTCGGGGTCTTGTTGACGAGTGAGGGAAGAATGGAGCGTGAGATTGACAGGCGGATCGGTGCAGCGTGCGCAGTGATGCGGTCGCTGTCTCGGACCGTTGTGGTGAAGAGGAAGCTCTTCACCACAACGGTCAATTTACCGGTCGATCTTCGTTCCCTCCCTCACCTATGGTCATGAGCTGTGGGTAATGACCGAAAGAACGAGATCGCGGATACAAGCGGTCGAAATGAGCTTCCTCCGCAGAGTGGCTGGGCGCTCCCTTAGAGATAGGGTGAGGAGCTCAGTCACAGGAGGAGCTCGGAGTAGAGCCGCTGCTTCTCCACGTCGAGAGGAACCAGTTGAGGTGGCTCGGGCATCTGTTCCGGATGCCTCCTGGACGCCTCCCTGGGGAGGTGTTGCGGGCACGTCCCACTCTGCTTAGACTGCTGTCCCCGCGACCTGGCAACGGATGAAGTGGAAGAAAATGGATGGATGGATGGATTTCCGATATACTTTTTGTCCATATCTTTATGGCTTCCCCAGGATACCACCAACAGACAGGGCCTTTCTGTGTGGTGTTTGCATGTTCTCCCTGTCTCTGTATCCTTCACTTACCCCAAACCACTAGTAACAAGGACAATAGGGTGAGAGTGATTATGACTGTAAAGGATGGAAATCAGCCCAAAGCTACAATCTGGTGTATTTACAGCAATAATAGACACTGAGCCATATAAATAACTAAAACACATGTATTCACCATTGGAATGACTGGAACAATAGCTACATTTTTAACATTGTGAAGCGCTTTGGGTGACTTTGGTCTGTAAAATGAGCTAAACAAATATACATTACTTACTTACTTAGTTTTGTGTCTGTTTTTTTCAAGTCGCAGATGTGACCCTGGTGTGTCGTCTGAGAAAAAGTCTTATAAAAGTAAAATGTTGTGAACAAACCAGACGACAACATACTGTCTTTATCTCATTAGAAAACATGTTATTGCTGTGTAAGAACGAGCCCTGTGAGTCAATATCTGACCCTTCGAGCTGAGAGCTGATTTGCTGAGTGAGGGTGGTTCTCTCTTTGTCACTTTTCTGTCCGAAAAATCTGATCTAAAGAATTGACAGAGACAGAAATACATGAAAACTAGTAATAGAATCAACTGTTTTGAGAGCGAGAAACAAGTGACATGGATTTTTATTACAAAGTTCCAATTGTTGTGGTTTGAAAGTTTTAAAATCCCCAAATAGAATGGGAACACCAAATATGGGTTTTGTTCATCGCTATGGTAACAGCCCCAACTTAGGTGTGAGTTCTATTTCCATGGCGACGGATGACATAGAGAATAGAATCTCGGAAGGATGGTGACGTCACTCCGTCTCCATGGCGACTGATGACATAGCGAATAAAATCTCTGAGGTAACTGAGTATGCCCCAGAGGGACAGCACCCTGGTTGGATACACTTAATTCTCACGAAGCAACAGGTGGAGTAAGTCCTTGATCAGAAAGACGACAATCGATCTAAATACGTTAGCAGCTAAGACTTAAGTTTAAGTTGATTAGAGATGGATAGGAAAAAGAACAAGATGAGGGGGAATAAACCTCCTCAAACTCTACAAGAGGATGCTATTTTCAAGGGTCTGGATCCTGCGGTTCAGGAGTTCTTGAATTGGAAGATCAAGAAAATGAACGAAGTTATGAATCACAAATCCAAAAGCTTCCAAGAAATCATAGAAAACAAACTGATGGAGATCCAGACGCTGAAGGCGACACTGGCGAAGTTAAAGAGCAATCAGGAGCAGGCGGCGAAGCCCAGTCTCGAGCTCAAAGCTCTCAAAACTGAACTGCTGCGACACAAGTCCAGGAAAGAGACGCTGCAGAAGGAAAGTGCCGAAGCCAGCGCTCTCGTCAAGAAGCACAAGAAAGACTGCGAGAAATCAGACAAGAAAGTCTTGGAGCTGAAGGCCATGTACGCGGAACAGAAGGACAAGTACGAGAAACAGCTGTCAGAACAGGCCAACGCTCAGGCCAAGAGAGTGGACGAACTTAAGAAACTGAACAAGGGATTGAAAGAGGACCTGAGCCTTCAGAGCAGAGACTGGGAGAAGAAGAAAAACAGTTTGTATGCGGCTGTAACTGAAAAAAATAGAAAGATCGCTGAACTGTCGGCTCAGCTTAAAGAGTATCAGGATAAGACGAGAAAGTTTGATGACAACACCAAAAAGAGAGACTCGATTCTAGACGCGATGGAGTGTTTGTACAACATAGACGTGGAAGACTTGCGCAAAGACAACTACAACTTAAACGAGGAGGTGAACTCTCTCTCTGTCGACATCGCGGAAAGAGAGAAAGAGATCGCGAAGTTGAAAGATGAGAAAAGATCCATGCACAAAACCCTGCGCGAGAAAGACCACGAGCTCTTTCTGCGCGACAAGGAAAGTAAGCTGACAAGCAAGGTTCTGAACACAGAGGAAACCAAAGGCGTCATGCTGGAAACCAAGCGCAAAAACGACATTAGTATAATCCAGAATCTGCAAAGTGAGAAAAGCAAACTGGAGGAGCAGCTGAAGAAGACTAAAGCTGAGCTGCAGGCGACACGGCAGCAGTACAACGGCGCCAGCTACAAGATCAGAAGTCTCAGACATCAAGTCAAATCGTGCAAACCGACGATCGCAGAAGAGAAAGACCGCTTTGTGCTCTTGGAGAAGAAGTTAGGTGCGGTTATGGGGAGTTTGAGCGGTTGTAAAGACGTACTGGAAGAGCCCAGACAGCTCAAGACCAAAGTGGAAGCCATGATCGCCCATTTTCTCCACTGACACAACGCGCCACCGGAGAACAAGACAGGAATTCTGCAAGTTATGCTGAAAAACAACATTCTCCGCTCCCAGAGAACCATGAACCATTACCGCGCAGAGACCGAGAGAAACAACGCCATCATGAGTAATAGACTGGCCATGGTGGAAAAGTCCAGGGATCAACTGGTTCCCATCGTGAACGCGCAGAGGATGGAGATTCTAAAGACCAAGAAGAAGGAGCCCAAACCAGTCAAGACCCCAGTGACCAAGAAAGTCACCAAAAAGAAGCAATCTTAAATTGTTTTGAGAACCGTGCAAAGCTCCATAAACTCAGCCGCCAGCGATAGATACGAAATCTAAATATTAGGAGTTAATGGTTGTTAAATGTGTCTTGTGGGATACAAGGCACATTTAACATCTTTTAAAGTCATCATATAATGCGAGAAGCCGTTTTCTCTCACTCTTCAGACCACTACAGGCATCCCACTGGTTTGACTTACTTTGTTTACCATTTTTTTGTTCTGGGTCCGGGATAGTTTGATCACAGTCAGAAATGCAGAAAGATATGAGGAAAAAAGTAGAAAACAAGTGGAATTGTTGCGGTGGTCAGAGGGGCCGGGGTGAAGCAATGGTGGCTCATATTTAAAATGGATGACAATGATCAATTCCTGATTTTCTTTTTCTGGTTTGACTGTTTGGACTCGCTGGTATAATACAGAAAGGGTGGGACTATACTCTCTCTTAGCGCCACTATTTTTCTGTTCGTTGCTTATTTGTATTGCACTTTTCCAAAACATTCATTCATTTTCATTCATTTTTGGGTCGGTGGGGGGGTGGTGACACTCAGAGCTGACACCCAAAGCTCATAGCACCGATCCTCCGGCAGGTGGTTGGATCACAGGAAGATGGCTTCTCCGTCAGCAGTGACACAGCGTCGGTGTTTTGCCCAGGGACACATTGACAGTAGACATTAGCGGGGGCAGTAGGAGTAGGTCTCGTGGGGGGATCGAACTCGCGATATTCAGGCCCAATGGCCAATGCTCTACCAACTGAGCCACTGTCACCCCAAAACAGTAATTACAAAGCGCTGCACATCAGCAAAAAAAAAACAATAAAACAGTCGTAAGAATACAGTCAAAATAATTAGATAGAGTAGAAGATACAGTCAGACAAATCAGACAAAACAAAGACAAAGCAGACAGCAAAATACAACATGAGCGGTTGAGAGGTAATCATTGGCAGGAATTGTAAAACTTTTACTCCCATCTGGCGTTGAGATCATATATTGCAGTCCAGGGTTCTACGGAAGCCTTCGATGGACAATCTGTTATCGACAGCTGTCTCCAACTCCCAGACTCTCCAAACGTCTTTGGGCACTTGACACAATCGAGGCGAAATGTAAACTAGACCGTGTTCTGAAGTTCTGAGTTTTACCATGTTTCTATTATAATATATAGTTTTACAAACGCAGTGTGAAGAGAAGAGACGCATGGAGGATAAACGTCTGTGTGAGATTAAAACCACAATGACACACACACCGCCGCAGCAGAACTGTGGCTAAAAGCTTATGTTATTAACGATAACAATAATAGAATTAAGGGAGTCTTGCATCTTTTTTGTCCCTTATCGACCACTGTATTCCAAGATGGCGCATTGACCTGGAGAGCAGTCTGACTCTCATGTTCATGTAAAACTCAAAACCAAAGCCTGTGAAAAACATTCAAAAACATGGTGAAGGTAAATATTCTTAAAACAGGTCATATTTGGTATTAGTTAACATGTTTTTCCATTCGGAGCAACTATGAAAATTACACAAATTGAATAAAAATGTGTTCAAAAAAATTTGTGCTTTACATTTATTAATCAACAAATTAATGACACTTTTTCTTTCTGAGTTGGATTCATGACAAAAGTTTACTCAATAATTATCAGTGTCAGGTCCAGGTATATTCTTGCTTGCACCAGCTCCAATTGGCCTCGGCTCTACTCTACTCTACTCTACTAGGGCTTCAAATATAATATAAAGTTTTGACTAGGCAAGGTTTACCCGGTGAAGCTTAAAGCACAGTTGTGTTGAGTCTATTGTGAAAAGGAGATAAAATATCCCGTTTTCATAAAAAGTATACGTTTGTGTCACTACTGCAGAAATGAAAGGATTTGTTTGTGAAGGATTCAGTCTTTGAGAAAATACATCCAAAGCAATCATTATTCACGAAACATCCAATAAAATCAACTAAAAATAAAGGTGAAAAAAATAAAATGAAATGAACAATAGCTCTATATTAAAATAGATTAAATTCTCTAGTTTTAGCATAATAAAGAAGCAAGTATAAAATGTATATACAAAAATACTGAAAAGCCTAAACAGGTAGAATAAATACAATTGAAATACATATTAAATATATTGAAGAGAGTCACGAACAGAGATAATAGTAATAATAATAATAATAATAATAATAATAATAATAATAATACAGACAACTTATAAAACTCAGCTTTACCAGTCTTTCCATAGAGGAGACTGGGACCAGCGTCATCTCTAAACAGTTCTCAGAGACGAGTCAACGCCAAGCCCCGGCGATCCAAGATGGCGCCCTATTCAAATGAATGGTTGTGCTCAGTGGCGCTTTGTGACGGGGCTGAAAGATTAGCGGAAGTCGCCTGAAACTCGCAAAGATCTATGGGAAACTCGCCTGTATTTGGGCATCGTCTGGTCCTCCCGGTTCTGTGCAGTGGATGATCTCCCATAATGCGTTGCGCCAAACACGCGTGTGTGGGTCTCACACCGGGTCTCACGCACGTGCACAGAGGGGCTCGGCCGCGCTCTGACCAATCAGAGCAGTTCATCAGAGCGGGAGTTAGAGCGAGAGCCAGACGAGCAGAGTTTGTGGCACTAAAGTGTGGATTTAAACAAAACCGAAGGATTTAAGAAGAAAAAAAGTTCAGGATGACAAGGGACACTAAAATCCCCACAAAATCCGATCTTTATTAAAGCTGTAGGTTCTCTGTCAGCTGAGGTTGAGCTGTTTTAATATGCATTGAGTTCTATGGGGAAAATTTCTGGGTAGCCCACGTGAATTTAGTCTGGTTCAGTCTGCAGTACCGCGAGAATCCCCTGAGCACATGAGTTATTCAGCTACAAGCTAGTAATACCCTATCCAGTTAATATAATACATCCATGGTCAACGCACCGAGTCAATTGCCTGGCCTGCCAAACGATATGCTTTTTCAAAGACATATAGTTCTTCTTTTGAACAGAAAGGAGGAGTGTCTGGCAGGCCAGGCAACCGAGTCAAGGGGCACGAGCTGCAAGGTGTGTCCTCAGTGCGCATGCGCGGTTTGGCTTGTTCTCCGCTCACGGGTGTCTCTGGTTCAGATCAAAACAGCCAAGCGCGTGTCGGAGCATCCACAGCATCTCGGTATCCACAGCGGTCACTCTGCTGTTACGCACGGGTCCTGGATAGCTCATACTCCTGGCTTTTGGACACTTATAACGCACGGTTTTGGACGTTATTACGCACTTTTTTTAACAGTTTACGCACGAGTTTTCGACAGTTATTACGCAAGAATTTTAACAGTTATTTCAGTAAAAAGTGTTAACGTGACTCCAAGAGAGATGAATTATCTTGGTCCCACTCGAAATCCGTGTCAAATGTATTCTTTGGCCAAATTTATTGTGTTATTTCTACTTAATATTATGCCAAACTTCAGTCGACTTCAGCAGAGTGGCGGGTATTTCTCACTGCTGCGGATTTGAGTTTGCAGATTTTTACACGTACTTTTAACTGATAGATTAACATTACTCTCTGTAATGTTGATAATACTTTATCTGGGTTAAAAAAAAACTTTACTCTGAAATATTAACACCCCATTTTTTACTGCGTACCCACGGCTTTTGGACAGCCATTTCGCACGGTTCTTTGGTCAGCTATTACGCACGGCTCTTTGGACAGTCAATACGCACGGTTCTTTGGACAGCCATTACGCACGGTCTTTTTGGACAGCCTTTACGCACGGCTCTTTGGACTTGGCTTTCACGCACTTGGATGAGGCGCGTGGCACGATGGCGGACGCGTCCTCGAGCTCGGGAGACGGCTCCACGAAGATCACACCAGAGGTTCTGCAAAAGACGCTGGAGTATTTCAACCTAACCCGCGAAGAGTTCATCAACACGTACAACATCCAGCCGCTGGTCTACATCCCGGAGCTGCCCTACTGCGCCAAGACCACGTTCGTCATCCTCTACGTGATCATCTTCGTCCTGGCGCTCTCAGGAAACAGTTTGGTGATATATATCATTCTGAAGAAGCGCGCGATCCAAACGGCCACTGATATCTTCATCTGCTCTCTGGCCGTGAGCGACCTCCTCATCACTTTCTTCTGCGTCCCCTTCACGCTGCTGCAGAACATCTCGTCAGAGTGGTTTGGAGGTGAGACTTTTGTGCAGAAATATGTGTTAACCTGTTAGTTTTTTGTCTTATCTGTTTGTAATAAAGTTGATTTTAAATGAATTGATACATAAAAGACTAAATCAACTTCTGGTCTGTAAATAAGTTCAGTTGTAGTTGTAATTTAGTTTTATTGAATGTGCTAATGAGTGTTTAGTCTATGTAAGTAGTAAGCAGTCTTTATAGCGCCGTTCACAGACCAGAGTCACAAAGAACTTTACAATTGTCATGAGCATTTGACTCTATGCCAGACCTATTTGTGGTGGTAGGGGAAACCGGAGGACCTGGAGGAAACCTACGCAGACATGGAGAGAAAATTCTAACTCCACACAGAGAGGTCCTGTCGGTGGAATCGAACCAAGAACCTACTCGCTTACTAGCGCTAATTACTGTGGCATTGTGCTGCATTAGTTTAGCTCTCAGTATTTAACAGTTAATTAAGTATTAATAGGGTATTTATTAATCACTTATTAGTCCTTATTCTACATGGCTGTGTTCAACATTTAACTAACTACTATTAGTTAGTTCAGGCCGTGGCCATACAGTAATCCGGAAAGGTGTGTCCCAAAATAAAAACAATACATTGGCTCACACTTGTAAAAACCTTGAATAAAACATTGCAGAACAATTCCAACTGCAACTTTCTGTTTTCCACATATTAGAAAACATGTTAGTGTCAGAAAGAGCCCTGAGAGTCACTATTTGACTCTAGGCTCTATGTGTTTGTTATTATTACATTTCCTGTGTTCCAACGGTTTGGTTCTGTCACTAGTTTTCATGTGTCGTTTGGCCTCTGTCTCATCTTTAGATCAGATTAGATTTGAACATTGTCTGTGTTCCAGAATTTAGCTGCATGAATCTGAAACGCTGCCTCCTCATGTTTAGTCCTGACTCTAGCACCAGCAGCGATTGTCAACAACGTTTATAGACATCGGCCTCTGCCTCTTATGACCCAATGTTTTAATGTGATTTTTATCATCACATTTCCTCTTTGACTCTCTCTGATTCTCTGATCTGTGTTGGAGAATTCAACAATTGTGTAAAGTCCTCCGAGAGATTACTACAGTTGTGATTTAAAGGTACTCTGTGTGATTTTTACAGTTGCTCCAAATGATAAAACATGTTAACCAATAATGAATGTGTCCTTTTTAAGAATATTTACCACAATCATGTTTTTGAATTGTTGTTGTAGACTTAGAAATTGACTTATAAATGTCCATGAGAGCTGGAGGACTGTACATGTCAATACGCCATCTTGAAATACAGTGGTTGATTTGATTAGGGACAAAAAAGAGTTTGAGCGGGAGTTGGGGACCATTGTCAAAGACGACATATTGTCCTGTGAAGCCACCGTAGTACCGAAAATTACAATATATGATCTCAATGTTAGAGGGGAGTAAAAACTACACAGTGAACCTTTAAGGCAATACAAGAATACATTGAATAGAATTGAAGTGAATGGACATAGGACAAAACTTGATCCAAAAAGAGCAGTGTTTTATCAGTTGCTCAGTCAGAAAACCAAAGTCTCGCTGCTCAGACTGAAATGATAAATGGGTGAGTTCTAACTTCCTGCAGGCGTCTCTTCCTTGGAGACCACAACACAATTATCTCTGGGCAGTGAAGACCAGTTAGAGATTTATAGCTACAGACCGGAGCTACAGCGCTGCGGGAATCGAGTAGAATTGTGTTGTCAATGCAAGAAGCAGTTGGTTCTGTTGTTTGATTTGACATCGTGGAGGATCCATTTACTGCTCCTAGATACAAGAGCTGTATTTGTAATCATTTCTCTGCTGAAACCCCATTCACACTGAGAAAAAACACACAGGAATTTCAACCAAAAACTCAATTTCACACTGAGCAACACGGGCTGGTGTGTCAAAACGGCTCTGCATTAAACCCACCTTTCGACTTACTCTTTTTAAGATTAAGAGATAATTTATTTGTCACACAGTGGGGAAATGTTAGTGTTGCATCACCAGTTACAGATGAGTGAGGAGCACACAGCACAAGATAAATGAACAATAACACTGTAAAATCTCTAACTTTAGAAAATTAAAGAATTAAGTCTACCATTTCTAAGTTTAAATATGGTGAATTTTGACCAAAGACCCTGGAGTGTTCACTATTTTTTGCACTGAGCAACTTGAGCCAGAGAGAGAGAGAGCAGAGGGACCGGAAAGAGAGAGCAGAGAGAGACCAGAGGGAGCCCAGAGAGAGCAGAGGGACCAGAGAGAGAGAGCAGAGAGAGACCAGAGGGACCAGAGGGAGCCCAGAGGGACCAGAGAGAGACCAGAGGGAGAGAGAGCAGAGGGACCAAAGAGAGACCAGAGTGACCAGAGAGACCAGAGAGAAACCAGAGGGACCAGAGAGAGACCAGAGGGAGCCCAGAGAGAGCAGAGGGACCAGAGGGAGCCCAGAGAGAGCAGAGGGACCAGAGGGGGACCAGAGGGAGCCCAGAGAGACAGAGAGAGCAGTGGGGCCAGAGGGAGCCTAGGGAGAGCCCAGAGAGAGAGCAGAGCAGAGGGACCAGAGAGAGCAGAGCGAGAGCATAGGAACCAGAGGGAGAGAGAAAGACCACAGAGAGCAGAGGGACTAGAAAGAGAGCAGAGAGACCAGACAGGGACCAGAGGAACCTGAGGGAGAGAGAGCAGAGAGAGAGCAGGGGGATCAGAGAGAGACCCAAGGAACCACAGGGAGAGACCGAGAGACACCAGAGAGAGAGACCAGAGTTGATATTTGCTTTCAAAGACGTGGCTCTTTGGGATTACAGAGAAATTAGCTCCAAACTTAGTCCCTGTGCTCCTCAGAGTCCGGGTTGGTTCAGAATGGCTTCAACATGTCACACACGCACGTTGCAGTGTGAAAGTTAGGTACCTTAGCTTTACAGGCATAACTTTACACCCACCTCAGTGCACTGTAATGCCATATTCCCCACGGGCCAATTACCCATTCATGTGTGCAGCAGACTGGAGCGAGTGTGGTGTTGTTGTGATGTTGTGTTGTCGCGGGAAAACTATAGATGACCAATCAGATTCAAAGGAGAGAGTGTGGAGACCGGAGAGAGAGAGAGAGAGAGGCTGAAGAGAAAGGCCTTTGTAGAAACCAGAGCTCCAGCAAAAAGAAATTATGGACAAATCAATACTAAGGAAAAGGATTCTGGGAAAATGAATTGCCTCAAATTGAGAGTCGTCCCCTCTGTATCGATCCACAGTTTCTCTGATTGTCTCTGATGTACGTCTCTGTTGTGGTTGTTTTCAGGGCAAACATTAAGCGAAAAACATTTAACTTGTATTCAATCTGCAGAGACCAAAGACACGATAAATACATTAAAATGATTTATTTGTTTGGCGCATTGACCCCGGCAGTGACACTTGCAGCTATGAGATCGATTGCAGCTGAGATGATCTCAGATCCCCCGGGGTCAATCACTGGTGGTGGCTAGAGTATGGTGTGAATGGGGCGTAGGCGGAGCAGGAGCCGGAGTGGGAGCCTAGAGCGGGAGCCAGAGCGGGAGCCAGAGCGGGAGCCAAGAGCCAGAGGGGGTGCTGGGGAGGTGGTGGGTGTTTAAGAGCCTCAGGAAGCGTTGTTTGTCAGGAAGTGGCTGCCTTTTAAACTGCCCGCTTTGCTCTGAGAGGGTTGGCAGGAGGCTGGCCTGGCTGTGTGATTGGCTGAGGCTCGAGGCTGGCAGAGCTGTGTGATTGGCTGAGGCTCGAGGCTGGCAGGCACTCGGTCTTTCAGTCTGAACATCCGCTTGAGCTTCATTTCAATCTGAAGAGACCAAAGACACGATAAATACATTAAAATGATTTATTTGTTTGGCGCATTGACCCCGGCAGTGACACTTGCAGCTATGAGATCGATTGCAGCTGAGATGATCTCAGATCCCCCAAAAGAGGAAGCCACGCTATGTGTGCCGGGGAATGCGCAGGCCTCCCGTGGGAAGCTGCCTATCTGGAGGCGTGGGAGCCTTGCATGGAGGCAGCATTACATAGGGGCAGCATTGCATAGGGGCAGCATTGCATAGAGGCAGCATTGCATAGAGGCAGCATTGCATAGAGGCAGCATTGCATAGATTGCATGGAGGCAGCATTGCATAGATTGCATGGAGGCAGCATTGCATAGATTGCATAGAGGCAGCATTGCATAGAGGCGGCATTGCAGAGGCAGCATTGCATAGATTGCATGGAGGCAGCATTGCATAGATTGCATAGAGGCAGCATTGCATGGAGGCAGCATTGCATAGATTGCATAGAGGCAGAATTGCATGGAGGCAGCATAGCCTGGAGGCAGCATTGCGTGGAGGCTGCATTGCATGGAGGCAGCATTGCATAGATTGCATAAAGGCAGAATTGCATGGAGGCAGCATAGCCTGGAGGCAGCATTGCGTGGAGGCTGCATTGCATGGAGGCAGCATTGCATAGATTGCATAGAGGCAGCATTGCATAGAGGCATCATTGCATAGAGGCAGCATCGCATGGAGGCAGCATTGCATAGATTGCATAGAGGCAGCATTGCGTGGAGGCTGCATTGCGTGGAGGCTGCATTGCGTGGAGGCTGCATTGCATGGAGGCAGCATTGCCTGGAAGCAGAATTGCATGAATAGGGTACAGAGAATATGCGGGGGTGACAAATCCGCACGCTCTGTAATGATTATGCGTGTGTGAAGCGTTGGCCCTTGGAGCGTGCGGAGGGTTTCTCGCGCACAGACCGCTTCGTAAGGGTGCATGTATGACGTAGGCCGCAGGGGATCTGTGGGAACAGACACTCACTGAATGAGCGGCTATGTGATCATGCGTGCGTGATGGATGCATGAAGTGAAGAGTAGATGCGTGTAATCTCAGAGCTGATGCGGGCTCTGCGTGTTGAGAATGTGGAGCAGCAATGTAGAGAGCTTTCTCATACAAGATCTGCTATATTTGAGCATGCGTGTGTCAGCGTATGATACAGAGAATATGCGGGGGTGGCGAGTCCGCACGCTCTGTAATGACTATGCGTGTAGAAGCGTGGGCCCTTGGGG